TTGTTTGACGTCCACGAAAATTTTAACTCGCTCACGTCAGGCCACGCCATCCTGGCTAGTACAGCCGGAAGTTTTTATCAGGATTTGGTAGGTACAAAGTGCCGGTTGTACTAGCCAGGATGGCGTGATTGATGACGAATCGCTTGCAAAAACGCGGACAAATATTTGCTCGAGTTACGCTTCTGGTATAACTTCCTATTCTGTGACAAAAATATTGACTAATGAGCGTGACAGGCAGACGCGAAAATAATAAACTTTGAACCTTTACGAGCCTTTAGCTCTAACAGATTTTAATACCTTTTGTTCTGGTAAATAAAATCACACCCAAAAAAGGTATGTTATGCGTTAGAAAGAAAAAGATAATCATGGTTTATTATGATAAAATTTTCTAAGGGCCATGAGCCCATGATGATCTTTGGCCTATAAATATTATATAATATTGCCAATATTGCCAAAACCAACCTAGATTAGTTTTAAGATATAGCTTTATCAAATATCTCTTATTTTTTTATAGAGATGTGTGGCCGTACCAGAGAAAGCAGAATTAATCTAATTTAAGGTTGGCTTTCCCCAAATATAAACACAAGTTTACTCAAGTGTCTAATCAATCAATTATACGTTCATCAAAATACTAAAAATAATATTAAATCAATGATGCATGTATATGTGACATGATAATTGGATAATGATTTATATACTGTATTTGTTGGCCAACTTTGGTTTTTATTCAATATATTGCATGCACATATAGATAATGAAAAATTATTTAATAGATCAGCCTATATTTAATATGCATACTGTAGTTCACACACAATACCATTTAACTATGATAAAATTTTGAATGTTATATACAGGTATTTCACAAATTGGGCATCAGCCTTTAAGGGGCTTTTTACAAGGAGCTGTTGACAATTTTCTCTCACAATCCCCAGTGCACCCTACTTTTTTTTTACTTGAGGAAGATGAGCTCAGTTTCTGCAACTGAAGCATGTGCAGAACGATGGATAGTGATATCGATTTCCAGAGGCTTCTGGTTGAAATGCCCCTCCCACCAGACTCGAACAAAAAGCACGCCTCTGCAGCTTAATGGGTTAAAAATAACTAGAACAAGTTACAAGTGGTTACTTTTTTTAAAGAATACATCTGCTGATCCACAATAATAGTGTATAAGCAGCCCTGGGAATCACCGATAGCCCAATACATCACATTTCTGATTGTTAAATAATAGATATTGAGTCATTAGGGTAGTGAGATTCAGTCAATGTTTTTCCTAATCCAATAGTTTTTTAATGTTTTTTTACACAATATAGCTCTACAATGGAGATACAATCAAAGGATGAACTTATTGAGCAAATTTCTTTAGCAGTAGAACAGGTAGTGCCTCTGATTAAACATACAGTAATTATATAACAGGTTTGCAAATTAACTACAAAAACCCGCTAAGAGGTGAACCCATCCCCAGAATGTATTGGTGATACCCTCAAGCACATCTTAGTTAAGTTGATTGAGAGATAGTAGAGTCTTCATTCTAGTCACACAAGTTCTTTGTGTAGTTAAGCTTCTGAATTAACCCTTTAAGTGGCAATGCACCCAGATGCGCCCTACTTTAGTATTTTACTCTGTCCAATGCCAGACGATTTTACTCGTCAAGTGGAGAGTACTGCCACTCAATGGGTTATTAAGGAACCTTTATTGAAGATCCCGAATGACACATATGTCACACCATTATATTCCCCCAACAATTTCATACATGTTGAAACTGACTATTGCAGGTGTTTGCACCTATTTTTGTCAGGGATGGATTTACTGGGGGTGCGCCCCCCCCCCCTCCCCCCCTAGGGTTGCTATTTTTCATGGTAAAGCAAGAAAACAAAATTGAGATACTGGTACAGTAATTTGAGTAATAACATGATGATAAGCACAGGGCTTTATCCAAGCACTTTTGCTGACCCCCGTTTTAGAAAAGAAGATTCAGTTTTTGTGACGCACTATCGTATTCTAGCGTATTTTCTCTGCGGTTTTTCACTCTTCCAGTTCAAACTAGGTTGTGTAAATTTTAGATTTTATTTCGAAAAATTCACTTTCTATTTGTAATATTTGTTATTCTTCAATCATTCCATTTCATTTTGTGATTTAATCGACATTTTTATCAGAAATCCAAACATGCATGCCATATCTAAGCATGGTGGGCACAAGACAAAATATTCGATAGAGGTAGCTTTATAATATAAACATGTCGTTTTATTTTATTTTGAAAAAAAATCAGCTCAAATTAATAACCCTGTTTCGCGGAATTCCAAAAACTAAAGCATGTGAAAATGATTTTTTGTTGTTTTTTGTTGGGGGAAAGATTCAGTTTAAAAATTCAATCCATGGCCAAGATTGAGTTTTGGATCCATCCCTGATTTTTGTGGGTGTGGCTATGAGCTTGCAAAGCTTAAATAGCTGTTTCAAATTTTTTGGTATTTTCTAAAAATGTTTCATTCAAATATAACCGTCTTATTGATGGTTGGATAACCAGCTAGATTGCTTCACGACTGATATAGAAATGCAGTCAGCAACATCATGGGACAAATCAGATATCTGTATTTGCCTGGGGAGGAGGTACAAGGTATGATGGACAGATTTATTAATTAAAGCAAAAATATCTCACCTAGGTCCAAAAGCAATTTGTGCAAGGAGGAAATGTAATTAAAGATTGCCAAGAAACATTTTTCTTATGTCAATGTGTTGATAATATTCTTCATCATGGACTGAAAGAAGGGTAGAGTATACTGTATAAACCTACATAATTATGTATTAATTACAATTAATTACAATTAATAACAATTAATTAATTACATAATTACTAATTAGAATGCTTCATGTATGACTGTTTTACAGGTTGATATCCTGGGCAGTGGAACCAACTATATGGCCATTATTGGAGAAAATCACTTGTAGTAAAGATATTGAAGAGATAAAAATGTACTAAGGATTCATTTTTTTATTTGAACATTAAGACCTGTTTACACTTGCAATTTTTGCTGCGATTTTCTTCTTTTGATGTATGTGAACGAGTGGATGAGTTATGAATGTTCAGATGAGGATGCACATACTCAGAACAATCATAACCCATCTCACTCGTTCACATGTATCAAAAGAAGAAAATCGCACTAGAAATCGCAGCGAAAATTGCAAGTGTAAAGGCCCGTTTACACAGGCGATTGTTGCTGCGATTTTGGTTGCGATTTTCTCCTTTTGGAGGATATGAAGGAGTAGATTTTATGAAATTTCATAACCTGGAACATTTATAACTCATCCACTCCTTCACATCCATCAGAAGAAGAAAATCGCCCTAAAATCGCAGCAAAAATCGCCCGTGTAAACGGACTTTAACAGGCCTTTAGAATGCTAATATATTGTAATAACTGAAGATCTTGCAATTTCTGAATTTTCTAGATGTTTAAGTAAACTAAAAATCTTAACTTTAGGTTACGTCTTAAAACGGACAAAGAGAAATGCAGTGCATGGATCAAAATGGCGGTGAATGAAAACTTACTGGGAAGTTATATTGCCACTATAAATCAAGACAAATCTTTATTAAGGTGCTTATTCTTATTGATTAGAATTATTAGGATTGCTATTCCTATTTATCTTTTTACTGTACATAAGTCACATTTGTTTATTATTAAGTCAACAATTTAACCAAGAAATTTCACTATTGCAGCAACCACTATTATGAATATGCCTTCTTACGTGACCCTGTGATGGCAGATACTGTTAAATCTCTGCTCAACTACGGAATAGCAAATTTTGATTTTCAAATGTATGTATACATGAAATTATATATTGTGGCTTCGAAAATTCCCCTTGTCCTTTTAACGTAAGCTTAAAATACGCATTCAAATAGTAGTATATGGAAAACGTATGAAGCTGTCCTTCAGTAGCATTGTAATAACGTGTCGTGTTTGTGTTCAAATGAGGTGGACAGCTACTGTGTTTATCTTTATTATTTAAAAAAAGTATCTAGTTAAAAAAATTAGAGTAAGACAAAAATAAAATAAGATATACACAGTAGCTGTCTGCCTCATTTGAACACAAACACGACAAGGTTTATGGAAAAAAGATTGTTGCCTCAAGAAAAGGAACTATAATTTCAGGACTGCATGCAATGTCTTTTGAAGATTTTTAATATTAGTTCATTGTTAAAAAAACCCAGAATAAAATCACATTCGTCATATCATGTTTTCTAGCGCTGTCAGTCAAAACCATCCTTCCAATCAAATTGATATAACAACAAAACAAGGTAGGTCAGGAAATAGCTTTTAGAAAAATAAAGCCTTTTTGAAAAACAAAGCTTTTTTGTAATAGAAAATTGGACGCAAATTCTTCCGGTTCTATTTATACGTTCCGAATTGCATGGGAATTTCCATCCGGTTAGCTGTTCTGGAAAAGTGGTTCGTGCTTCCGCTGTGAACTCGTGAAGCGAAATCGTGCAATACTGGTCTCGTGTTACAGGCTGATGTGAACAGAGCCGATGTCAAGTGTAACTAATAAAATCTTCTTTCGAAGATTAATTTATTACGCCCCAGATAGAACCGTATTACAGAAGGGGGAAGAACGTGTAAGTCAATAATAAAGATTGGAATAGCATTGATACGAACATTAGAAAGTTGATAAGCTCAAGTAGTTTTAAGAATTAAGAATAAACTATACAGAAACTTTAGAGGCTCAGAAAATTTCTTCACTTTAAAACTTCGTAGGCAATTATTCACCGAATATTAATGTTGATCTATTTTAGACTCTATTTATTCTTTTACTTCATGTATACAATCTAAACTTTTAAATTACTGTAGCAATCTAACTGTAGGATCATATAGAGTCATCAGTATTATGTACTGCCAAATGTTATCTTCTATAAATAAAGTTAATTAAATTTAACATTCGCGTTTTGTCTTTTCTAGAACGTTCAATTGGATACGATGCGTTCGAGCGCACTGCCAGGTCAAAGGAGAACGGCTACGAATCTCCGAAAACAGAATCTGGACTCATAACCGCGCAAGAAACCTGGAGTAAGAAAAAACGGAAGAAAAAGAAACCGAGCGTAAAAACGGTCGTTATCGAAGAACAGAATGATTATGGTGGATTTGATGAGATGAAAAGCACTGAAAAAGAAAACGTGGATATAGTTGAGAATAGTGTTGAGGAACATAGTAAGGAAGTCTTGACGAAAGACGGGAGTTTTACTAGCATTCATGAAGATAATACGCTTTTAAGCAATACGGATGGTAAACAATGTTCGAATACGGTAGAATCGTCATTGGCTACGATTGACCAATCAGGTGACAGTACAGTCAGTGACGTAAGAACTAATAGTCCCGATGCATCGTCAAATGGTCACGTGACTAACCCGGCCAATGATGATAAAGTTAACAGGACAGGCGACCAATCAGATGGTTTAGAAGAGGCGAGTTATGAAAGAACAGTTTTTGTAAGCAATGAGCTGGACCAGTACTTGTCTCTTAACAGCCAACAGAATTCTGAAACGAACTCGCAATATAAGGAAAGAAATAAGGAATTCGATTCTTTAGGGAGAATTGCGGAAATAAACTCCAGTTCTATGCAGGAATTTAGTGCAAACGATTTTCTTTTAGATGAAACCGAACCACAAAGTCAAAGTAATAATAATAAAGAGAAAACTACGAACCGTTTCGAGGACCACTCAAGTTTCAGTACAAAAGATAGCTCAATGGAGCCCAAAACAGATCATACCCCTCCTGATCATACCCCTAGTTCTGATTTCACAAACTTCCAGCAAAGCTGTGAAAATTCTGATTCTGGAAAAGAAATTTCAAATTCACAGAAATCTGAAAAAGATACATCTGGGAGTTTAGAGGATAATCAAGGACCAAGTGGTGCAAATGAAGAATTGACAGAAAATTTATTAAATTCTAAGGAGGAGGATTCTTCGAGTTTTCCAAAATCTAATGAGGCAAGACGTACACCGGAGAATTCCAGGGAAACTGAAGAACATAGCGATACGAATGAAGAATTATCAGAAACTCCAAAGTCTAAGGATTACAGTTCTTCAATTTCTCAGAAATCTGAGATAGGAAGGATTGCTGGGAGTATTAAAGAACAAAATGATTCAAATAATGAATTTTCAGAAATTCTGAGCAGCGGTAACGCGTATGATTATCGTGTGAGGAAAGTCGAAAATCCAGAATTCGTCTCATCTTCTTACGGGTCGTCCTCGGCTCTGAGCGATTTCACAGACGACGATAGAGACCTCAATTTTATTCCCGGAATTCATAGAATATCCTCAAAATCGTTTTCATCATCTTTCGAGAGAAAAAGCATGGCCGATAGTTTGCTGTCATTTGATGAGAATGGCTTTCCAGTGTTTGAGTCCTCACATTATACAGAGTCGTTAACGTCACAGCCTTCTAGCATTGATGATAGCAGCAGTAGGTTTGCAGATCTTTCAAGTGAATGGGATATGTTTGAAGATTTACTCAATGTAGAGGAGGAACATTTTTCAAAGCCTGATGTAAGTAGTTGCGTGATATAATAGTAGTTGTTTTGTTTTGTTTCTTTGTTTTGGATGAAAACGCCACCAGGAGTCATTACGACATTGGAGAGTTTAAGATTCGCGTTTCTGGGCAACGGCAATCGACAGGACCGAACTTTCTTGGCACAATTTTCGTTTAACTTTTTCGTTTCACATTTTCTTTCTTATGTCAAAAGAATAGTAGGCACTGCAGTTTTAAAACAACAAGCCCATTTACTCTTTATTGCCTTATAGCGTAAACGTTTGCGTTTTTCGTATGAACCCTTTGAATTTGTGCAGGCACATTTTAATTAGATTACTGGCATTTAAATAATATTTATAACTCTCAAAAACTAAAATACGATTCATTTTTGCAGGTACATTTTGAAGTTATGAATTTTGCTTGCTGGCACTAACAGTCAACTTGACAGTCATACGGCGTAAATAAGAGTAGATCTAGCTTTATATATTGTTTAAAAAGTTTGTACGACTCTTTTAGAATTTTGCTGGTCTAACAACGAGCGAGGAGCTGGAGATTGCGATCGAACATTATAAGAAAATGATTAAAATGAGAAAAGGGAAGTCTCAACAACGGGATGACTTGGTTAAAAAACTTGTCAAACTTCGTTTACGGTTACAACAGGAAAGAGTATGTGTCTAGTTATTTTAACTGGATAACTTTATCAGTTCTAAACTGTTCTCGCTAGAGGTCCTGTTCAAGGTTCTTCAGAAATCTTGTCTGAATCAGTAGGAGTTTTCTTCTCTGTTTTGAAATAAACAGACGTGCAGAAATACAGGAACTCTAACAGCAGGTTAAATTTTAATCGAGGGTTGGCGCTAACCCCCCCCCCCTTGAACAACTGGCTCCAGGTTAAAAGCACATATATACTGTTAACCATTGTTCCTGTGTTCCAGCAATACATTTTTAGACTTGGTATAAGGAGGTTAAGACAGAGAGAGTGTAACTAATAATTTCAATATCATAATAGACAACTTGCATGTTAGACTAATTTTTGATCTAGGCAAAAAAAGTAAATTCCCGTAACGAACTTATTAAAATTAGTAAAACTGCAAAATTTGGTTACGAAATGTTGTAAAATACAGAAAACATAGCATTGCGAAATTTGCACATTTTGTATATGTTTGTATTACGTGCGGAAATTGTTACCATCTTTGAGCCGAAAATGGTAACAATTTCCGCGCGTAATACAAACATATACACAAGCTTTACAACATTTCGCAACCAAATTTTGCAATTTTACTGATTTCATTATGTTCTTTTTAGCTGTGGTGTTTGATTCCCTTCTCTTTACTTAGATTAAAATTTAGTCTAACATGCAAGTTGTCCATTACCTTAGGAAGGTCCTCCGGCTGACAATCCACAACTTCGTAAGATCGTGAGTCATCAATTCAGTAAGACAGAAGGCTCGTCAGGAACGAAGTATTTCTGTGATCAATGTGGTAAAAATATCTGGACGATGTGGCAATCAATGTTTACCTGTAATGGTTAGTATGTATATATAAAGGCTAGTTCACATTATCAAAGTTTCTGTGATCACAGTAGGAATTTTGCAAAGATAAATTCGAAGGATTTGTACAAACTGTTTGAGGAAACCAACTCAGTACTAAAACCGAGTCATCATCTTATAAATCCTTCAAAACGTAGAATTTATCTAAGCAAAATTGTATACTGTGATCACAGTCTCTCTACTCTGCAGAGGCTTCAGTTGGCTATGATTACGATTAGTATTGAGTATAAAGTGCAGTGAAATGTATCTCAATACTAATCGTAATCATAGCCAAATTATTGAAGATCCTAATTTCCTAGAATATCAGAATATGTTTCGTATTTCTTACAGGTTGTGGCTATCGTTCTCACAGAAAATGTCTGGAACATATTCAAAGACCTTGTCCCAATAAGAACGTACGAATTACTTCTAAATTCGATGTGATAATTGCATAAATTTTGTTTTTGAAAAAATTGTGATAATTCAGCAATTGAAAAATTAGTACATTAACATATTCGTTACATAAGCAATTAAATTTTGTTTTTGAAATACAAAATTGTATATTTGTTTCCAATACTAGTCATTTTCTTTCAGTTATCTTCAGCGTCATATATTCTGGATATATGCCCCGACACTGGATTAGATGCACAGCAATACAGATGCGCTGAATGCAGGAAAGAAATCGCGTTTTCAAGTAAGTGGAGACACTTATTCAAACCTAGACGTTGGTACTGGCAGAAACCAAAAGTGACCATTGTTTTGGGAAGCATTCGAATTTTTCAATGTTTCCGAAATCAATGTTTCTGAAAAATTTCGGAAATATTTTTGGTATCCCAATTTTCGGTTTTGTTACGGCTTTCAATGTTCCCTGGTTTGCCCAGGCGATCCCATTTCGCCAAAATAATGTAGCTTCCCAGTTTGACAAAGGTCTTAGACTTAATGTCAAATCTAAATTGTCCCTTTGTTAGAAGACGATGTAGCCGAGGCGAGGATCTGTGACTATACTGGTCAATACTTCTGTGACAGCTGTCACTGGAATGATCAAATATCTATCCCTGCTCGAGTCTTACGGAACTGGGATTTCACTCAACAGAAGGTAGAGGTTATTGATGGATTTAAGTAAGCCTTGTACAGGGTCTACTTCAGAAATGTTGAAACTTGACAGAAGCAAGAAACGACATTCTCTGAATTTTGTATATTTACCTCCAAGTACAAGACTATATAGACCCATTGCATTGACGTCACAAATCCTTAAAGTGTCCTCCAGATGCTCCCTAACAATATTACCGAAATCAGTAGAGTGTCTTTTCCGGAAGTTGAAAAGACAGTCGAAAGCCAGTAGAAACGTTCATGTTTTATGACGTCACGGTGAAGGAATGCAGCGTGGAACTTGTAAGTTATTTTACTTATTAGTAAACTTTATTTAGTTTGACAAATTTGCCAATGGCTCGCCAAACACAAAACAAGCTTTTGAGCAAAGGGAGAAGTTCTAGGGTGAGGCGGTAAAACCGATGTTCTTTGAAAACCGAATTACTCGATGTTACTTTTGGAGAAAGACCGGAAAACCGAAAAAACCGGAGGAAAACCGAAATCCAACCATACTTATACGGGTCTGTTGCAAATGAATCAACTTTGGCATTTACACACGAAAACTAAAGAGATTTTGTTTAAAATTTGATAACATCTTCAAAATACCTTACGTTTAATATCATTCTACAATTTCGCGCGAGCTTGAGGTCTTGAACGGATAAGCGGATCAAACGATGGTGAATTTTGATTCGCTGGTAATAAAGGCGGACGTCTGCGAAGACAGGTTTAAGATATTCATATAGCGTGTTGTGTCTTTTTTAAACCGTAGTTTCGATTTTCGAACATATTTTTAAAAAAAAAACCCGGTTCACTCGGTTTTTTCGGGGTTTTTTGGTCGGTTTTCGTTTTTTTGTAGAAACCGCCTCACACTAGGGAGAATCTTTATTCGTGGGAAGGCACTTAAGTAAAGTTACTAATAAGTAAAATAACTTACAAGTTCCACGCTGCATTCCTTCACCGTGACGTCATAAAACATGAACGTTTCTACTGGCTTTTGACTATCTTTTCAACTTCCGGAAAAGACACTCTACTGATTTCGGTAATATCTGTTCGGGTACAACAAAATTATTATAAACTTTTACAAAATTTGCTTTTTTACAAAAGTTATATTATGCATAGATTGCTAATTTGTCCTCCAGATGCATCGTCACCGGCGTTGTGACGTTATGTGCAATGGGTCTATAATGGGAAAGACTTAGAATATAGCCCCCTATATTAAAGTCAACTACACGACGTATGCATGTACTGTACATATATATATGTCAGTGTATTTATGAATTAGGACTTACGACTCATCCAATATTGCTCTTCATTACATTGTTACAAAGTGTATTTCGAAATATTCCATCGAAAGGGCACTTGATTGATACAGTAATGATGAATAGTTATTAGTTTTTCAAGTGTAGACTCTAAGCAACGCATAACAAATTTCACTCTGTTCTATCATTTAACCTTTCCCATGACTTTTCTGGGGAGGTCCAAAACGATCTCAGGGGAGGTGCCCCCCCCCCAAAAAAAAATCCGGCCATGCTGATAATTACAGGTTGACCACTAGATATCTGCTGCATGACAGTGCTTAGTGAAACGCATCTATTTGTTAGAGTATCGAAATATCTACTGCAAACCCGTTAGCTTCTGCTTCTGAAAATCATTCTTAAGATTGTATGATTGGTATTTTTTCCTAGGTTTGTCGTAAAATAAAACAACTGCTGGAACTTATGAAGACAAGACCCATACTTAACATACAGGAAATCAATCCCATGTTATACAGATATGTCGAGGAATTGAGAGAAGTCGGGGTACGAGTAGGGATAATTGAAATGGTTTTCAATAAAATAGAAAGATTTAGCATTACTATAAGGTTGAGTTCAAACGCCAAATTTTTCATGTGATAAACCTAATGCAAATCAACTCAAATGATGAGTTTAGTAAATGACATTTGCTTCGGCATATGATAAGCCTGACTTTTGAACCTGGCCCTGGTTGTTCAAAGGCAAAGCTGGATTAGAGCTAAATCTAGGTTAAAATTTAACCCTTTGGTTTGGATACATCTGCAAATCCGCTTTCTTCAAAACTTTAGAAGATAATACTTCTATTGTAATATTGTGTTGATCCTGACAAGATTTTTGGAAAACTATTTTATGTTAGCTGTTGGGAGAATTGCCAACCGCTATTTTATGTTAGCTGTTGGGACATATCCGTTCACGAAACATATCCGTTCACGAAACATGGGGATATCACCTTCATGCGTGCCTTAGGGTGCCTACCATGCTAAAATAGGTTCGATACGAGCCAGCTAATTATGCATGCATTGATTTTTTAGAAATTTCGTGAAGATATTCTTATAATGAAGAAATATTTCTTGACATGCCGTGAAGCTCTTGACAGTAAATTATTAATACAGGTGTGTGCTCTTATGACGTCCCTCATACCTTTCCTTTCATTCTTTTCTTATTCTGGGAAAATGCAATGCACACATGGAAACTATAGTTAATAACCACAAATATGATTTTTGTTATGTGTAATATTTGGATCATTCGAGGAAGAAATATAATATTTATCTTTATAATAAAAAATCCCATCTTGATCAACTTTTTCACTGTCAAAGTTTGCGCATATGATGTCATTAGATGAATTGCAAATTAGTTCTAGTTTGTTTTTTGTACCAAAAGTTCACCCAATAACATCATGTCTGGAAACTTTGACAGTGAAAAAGTTGATCAAGATGAAGTTTCTTACTATAAAGATATATTACATTTTTTCTTAGAATGACCCAAGTATTATTACACATACCAAAAATTATATTTGGGGTTAGTCGCACTTTAATCAACACTTGTAGATGGAAAAACATATCAAGGCCTTGTTCTCCTTTCTTACAGCTTCAAAAACGTCAACATTTCGTGGACAGTGCAGATATATATTCATTTCAAGATCTGATCGACCTCAATAATGACGTGCTGTTACCAGAAGTCTCAAAGATACATGCTCTGTTCTTGGCTCATATCAAGGCAGATTGCGAGTTATGTCGCGCGCGAGGATTTATATGTGAAGTCTGTCAAGACTCAGGCGATATTATTTTTGCCTTTGATCCGCACGTGGTCAAATGCACCAACTGTTCAGCGGTGTTTCACAAGTAAGTATGAAAATGGATATACTCGATTTACCCCGCTCCCCCCCAATTGCTAGGTTACGAAACAGTTGAAACTTATAGGTGCAAGCAAATTAAACGAAATGTATATACCACTATTTTCTCACTCTGATAACTGCTGATTCACCTGCACCATATACAGTAGCCTGCGAACAGGCGTTCTCCTCGAGGGGTTCCTATAAACGCCTGTTCGCAGGCTACATATGCAGGGCATACCATAATTTTAAACTTTATACCGTATTAATATTTTGTTGTACAGGGTCTGTTTTAAGCCTGAAGACTGCCCTAAATGTGAACGCAAGAAAAAGGTTGCTGAGCAAACGTAGCTTACGGAGTTTTTGTACAATTCTGTACAACAAATTATAGACACGCGTGCTGTGTAGAATTAGTGACAGTGTATGAGCAAAATACATACGCAATACATCCTCTTCATTTGTATGATGTATATCATCATACGGTCATCCTTGAATCTGATGTATATCATCAAACAGGTGCACTTTTATGTATGATATATATCTTGATGTATATCATCATACTGACACATCGATAACTTGATCCTCACCCGATCTCCCACTCTAACCCCTCCTAACCGGAGACGCCTAACCCATCTAAGCCCCCCCCCCCCCTTCATCCTGATGGTGAGTGGGGACCGGAAACCCCTCACCCCGACTTACCTCCCTTCTAAGGCGATTATTTAAATAGATTAAAGTGTTGTCTTAGGTTTATAGATTTAAGTATGACCGTATGATGATATACATCATAAAAATGAAGAGACCATGTTGCAATACGGGTGTTAAAATTAATTTTTGATAAAAATGTAATTAAGACTAAGGTTAAAATGTATTTATGATTGAGATAAATTAATAAAATATTCTTCAAAAATATTTTGCGATGGTGCAAAAACAGTAATATAATTGGCGTAGCTAATTTCAACCAAATTTTTCATCTGGCGACCAGATATTTGCCAAAGGTAGTGCTTGTGGCGACTGAGTTAGTGCATAGATCAATTTGTTGATCAATACGAATTCATTCAAATAGGGCGACTTGATGTTAAATTTGGCGACCAAGATCTTATTCTCTGGTAGCTACTTGGGTGACTAAATATTTTTCCAATTTCAACCCCTACACACGTAAAAATCTCACATCTTGTAACAAGTCTGCCAACAAGCCGCCAACAAGATGTATTCGCACTGCTTGTCAACCTTGTGTTGACAACCTTGTAACGTCCTTGTTATATCATGGCTGTAACAAACTTGTTAGCACAATCTTGTAAAAAGGCTGATAATGCGATCAAGCTTGTTACAAGTTGTTAACAGCTTGTTCCAAACTTGTTACAACAAAATGGGAACAAGCGTGCGAACACAACTTGTGAACAGACTTGTTTGCAGACTTGTTACAAGCTGTGCGTTTTTACGTGTGTACATGGACCATGTTCACGATTTCCCACCAACAGAGTGAACTGTATATTATTGACTTACCAACACAGCCGCCAAGATGCCAGCGATGTTTTGAGATAATCCAACAATTTCTGTTAAAACCAGTGGTTTTTTATAGGTTAATCCAAGGCATGACAACTTTATATTAATCAATACGGCATCAGTTTTTACCATAGAAATAATAGATATTATCTATTTTCTATCTATATATTATCTATTATTATCTATTATTTCTATGGGTTTTACCTAGCCTGCGTAGCAGTCGCTTTATTTTATTGTAGGTTTTGAGGATTTTAGTTTTTACCCAACTTTATGTCACGAGTATTCTGTCCTATTTTGGCCAGGCTAGATTTCATACCATAAAACTTGCATGTATTTAAAAAAACCCAAAAATTTATTAAACATCATTTTCTGGCTTGCACTTTAAGTACTGATTGTTCGTTCGGAATTGTTGCTCCACAATGACGATAGAAATCTCTCTTCACCAGTCCTACGCGGACATGTTGACGTGAGGGAACTTCCAGAGGAGGCCGATGTCCGTATACAGAGGATGAAAGCATTGGCACGGCTTTACTCTGTTCCTCTGCATGTACATCAAGACCCTGCGTGTGTTCCCTGTCATCCCTATGTATCCTGCTACAGTATCCATGCTGGATGTGAAACATGCGATCATACGTTGATTTTGTGTTGTTCTGAAAGAACCGAAGATTACTTATGATGGTTGATACTTTTCATACAGAATTAAACTAGCTGTTTACTAGCTCACATAAAAAAACAGCGAAATCAATATCATGTAGCTGACCTTTTTGTTATTGTTGAAGTATGTTAAATTTCTTGAGAAATCCAGAGCATTTCCACGCTGTATTCGAACGTTGACTTTGTAAAATGCGTTGTTCTTCATAACGTTTTCTCTCTGTTAATACCAATATGACATAATCAATCAATTACTTCAATATCATCGCAGGTTGCCTGTGAATGCAACTGAATGCAATGCAATTTCTAGTTCTTGTGAGGGATTTAAACAATTTACGCACTTAGATACCGAAGTGAATACATAATGGTTGTATAATATTAAAGTGAATATTAAAGTGAATTGGATATTAAAGTGAATAAGTAAGAGTTAATTCCTTTAACCGTACAACAGTATTGTATTTGGTTGGTAAGCAAATAAAATCTAGAGATATAGAATTTAGTTTTCTTGCTCCTGTCATTCTCAAGAGCTCTGGACTAAAGTTGACTATGTCGTAACGATTATACTGAAACCCACGAATTATTTAATTTGAAATGAAAAAAAAAACAATGTAAAGTTACATTACCCTCATAAATTCTCGCCATTGTTCTTTAATCTCTTCAGGACTGTATTTTTGTACGCCATAACATGACCTTGTCATGCCTTTCTCTGCCGCCATCGCGCTAAAATTATACACGCCTTTCCTCAGAGTATCACTCACCTCATTAACATAGCGCGCGCTACATTGTTCACGTCACACACACATGCAACGTCATGTAATATCAGTTTCCAATAGCGACTGGAAATTATTGAACTGGAACATAAATTTCAAACCCCAAACTTTGCTCTTGTTGGCAGGAGAAAATCAATCGAATCATAGCATACTTTTTATCGAATAGATCTAGTCATATAGAACGATTTTATCACAGTATACTTACACATATACAGTATGTACAATATTAAAAATAATAAATACCATTCCGGTTCCTATGATATGTTTTCAATATCCAAATCACTATCGTCAAAGTCATTGAAGTCATCCATTTTGAACTTGACACCTTTCTTGGGCGAGGCCTCCACCACAGGTTTCCTACCATCGTTAGTTCCTGGAAATAGAACGGCAATTGTAACATAAAGACTGGTTTTGCACTATCAAAGTTTCTGTGATCACAGTAGGAATTTTGCATAGGTAAATTTTAAAGAATTTGTAAGAACCTCTCTCTTGAACACTAAGTCAGTTCCCTCAAACATTTCTTACAAATCCTTCAAAACTTAAAATTTACCTGTGCAAAATTCCTACTGTGTTCACAGAAACTTTGATAGTGTAAAACCCTGCAGACTTAAGAAATGCTTCATGTGGTTATATAGATGGACCTCACTATAAGCACTGTCGTGCAGCAGCTAGTGGTCAACCAGCAGTGGCGCAACTTCTTTGGGCGCTGCCTGGCTCAAGCGAAGTTGATGTATTTCAGCACATTTTGCATATTTTTCTTTACCCCCCCCCCCCGTCGCCACTTTAAATAGGCAGGACCAGGGGCCCTATCCGAGTTAAAGCCGGGGGCCCTTAGCAGAAGGTTACGCCACTGTCAAGCAGCAGTTATCAGAGTGATAAAATGATAGAATTATTTTCATTATAGGTATAGTAGTCTTGCATTTGGAGAGAAATAAATAGAATTGAAAGATGTATACTTTTGCCAGCATGTGCTAGTCCGTATAATGACTGCACAAATTCACAAAGACAAGAGTTATAACACGAATTATCCACACATACCAAGAGATTGTACAGGTTTCTTCAGGTTTCTGAAAAAAGAACCAGGGATATAAGTTTCGTAATAAGAGTAACCCCCAAGAACGCCTGATTGCAGGTTATAATAAGAGCAATAATGGAATAAGCATTATTGGTGTTAGTGGTAAATGCAAGTGCCTTTTATCTCTGTGTCTGGCGTTTGATTCTTGCCAATACAGTAATCAGTATGAGGTTTTCTGACTATAATTTCGCCGCAGCTGCACGCGAAAAGAGAAGAGTGATTTTCAACACTGCACGCGCGTTTTTTTGGGCACTAACAAAAAAGGGGACGAATAAGGGTGCGGTATTTAGACTAAAGTCTAGCTCCACGGAGAACAGTTGAAAACTGATAGAGGTATCCAGTAAAAATAAACTAAATAACGTTACAGCCACATATATTAACATACCCAGTCTGTTTCTGAAGGTTGCTCTCGGGTTCTGGAGAACTGGATAAGAAATCGCTGTCATCATCAAAGTCCTGTAAAAATCACACGTCGTTAAACGGGGTATGCAAAAAGAACGATGCTTATACATATTTTAGTACTTACTTCAACTTTCGAAGGCGCTAAAGCCCCAGTATTAGGTGTTGAATGAATCAGAGCCACGGCTCCAGCCGGTTTCTTGATCTCTGCTGATCTTTCTAAACTTTGCTCCAAACTCGATGCCAGTTCTTGTACCTAGTAAGTTAAATAGTGAAGAACGTACGTTTATACACTGTACATAAGAGGTTAAACCGACTTTCAAAGTGCCTGTGTACAGGGCTTACCTGAGACCTTTGCGAAGGAATATGTACAGAAACTTTGGGAACCATCTGCCTGGTAGGCGACTCATCACCACTGAAACAAATATGGTAATGATATGTTACTGTATGTATATGGTATGGTATATGGCATGGTACTGTATGATATGGTATGGTATGTTATGGATAGGTAAAAGAAACCAAAATTTTCAAAATAGCAAGCGTTGCACATTTGCACTATCATAGGTTAAGCATTGCCTTTAAGTTTGCCAATGAGTATTTCTTTATTTGAAGAGAAGTATATTTTAGAAGCTTAAGTTTGCCTTTATCAAGAAAAAGAGTATTTCTGAATAGCTCTTAGGTCAATCTTTCACCCACTCTTACTATGGCGTCTATTACCCACATGCCACCCCCTCCTAGATCTAATAAATATACCTAGAAAATATACCTTCTCAGGGGGGGGGGAGACATTCTGTGAAGACCATACCTCAAAGCTGAATCCCAATCAGTATCCTCGTCAGACCCTTCATCCGTCAGTTCTCTCTGCCTATTAATTACTTCCGGTTTGCTTTCTTCCGACACACTCTCTGATGGGTCAGTGGCAGAGGTCGCACTAAACGATCCTTCAGGCTTTAATGGACTGCGCTCAAGATTAGATGGTGGCCTTATAACAGAAATACAACCGAATTAAAATGTCGTAAAATGAGATGACTTCATTTTATTATAACAACACATCAATCGATGTGTTCGCTCAAGCACTATCAGTAGATGATTGTCCGACTAACCCTAAATATATTTTGCGGTATTTGTGGTATTTGGGTCATTCTGAGAAGAACGTATCTTTATAGTAAAAAACCTCATCTTGAACAACTTTTTCACTGTCAAAGTTTCCAGATATGATGTCATTAGGTGAATTTTTGGTACAAAAAACAAAGGGAAATTAATTTGCAATTCACCTAATGACATCATATCCGAAAACTTTGACAGTGGAAAAGTTGATCATTTCTTCCTTGAATGACCTAAATATTACACATACCATACCAGATCATAATTTTTAAGATTCTTATTAAATGTTGTAATTTCAAATAAGTTTTATATACTAGCCGTTTCAAACAGTAGCTCATTGGCCTCAATTGAACAACCTTTCATCAAACACAATGCTACTGAAGGACAACCACCTACGTTTATTACACATACCAAAAATCATATTTGTGGTTTAATAGTCGCACTTTAAACCTGCAGGTGTAAGCGGGCCTTATGGCTTGCTGGGAACTACCATTAGATAAAATTAGAGGCAATCACCTTGTTGACGCAGGCTGTGCAGGCATACTCCTTGAGCTCGGGTCACGTGATGCAAATCCTCTAGCTGCAGTAATGGCGCTTGCCGCTGACTTTAACGATGGCTTTAATGGAGTAGTTCGCTGTGTAAATGAACCTGTAATTAAAGGCAGTGGATTAAATAAAATGACGACAGCATGGCTGAAAATTAAACGTTTCTAGATATTCATATTCTCAAGGCACAGAGTAATGATAATAAAATTCCCTGGGAACGAGGATGTTTCAAAATCTTGCTGCAATCATACCTCGTGACTCATCCCCAAACCTCGTCGGTCTCTTCGAGTTTACCATCTCTCTAGCCATGGAGTCAACTTCCTCCGCTTTCCTTTTTCTTATTTCCTTAAAATTCTTGAATTTCTAAAACATAATATTATCAGCTGATATCAAGGCAAGGCTGAAGAATGATACGGGTCATCATCTACCTATACTATCCAGACTCGTGGTTGGTTGATTATAACAATGAAAGACAATAAAACTATAGAAATCGTTTTTCTAAAGAACGAGTCACGAACAATGATCATTTTTGTTTCTGAAAGCCAATCACAAAACAGGAGCATTTTAGGTAGGTCTTTACCCGATGATACTTATATATATACCTACAAATATGGTTTGATTCACTTTATATCATCTTATTAATTTATACGCATAAAAGTTGGCTCTTATGCCCTTGTTTCCACATACAAACACCAACCGAAGTTTTAGTGTATATGAAAACGAAGCCATAAGAGCCACTAATTTAAATTTTGAGCTTACTGGGAAACATTTTGGGAAAACATATCAAAATTTTTTATTAAATGTTTCATGTACATTGGAAACATGTTCTGTATATAAAAGGGGCTGGATAACGACAGCATAGCAAGTAGCTAAACCGTAATACATTCATTGCAGAAGATCTATTTAAACAAAATACGCTCTCCGTGTTCCAAAACTTCGCATATCTGACAAAGTGTCTTCACAAAGTGTTCTAGTCACTACCTTAGCTCGACCTTCTTGTTCGGATCTCAACGACTCCATTCTTGACTCCAACTGCTTGCTAGACAAACGCTTGCTTCCCGGTTGAATTCCTCTTTTCGCCAAACTTTGTTCAAATATTTCTCTCACTTCTTGCTTGCATTCTTCCATCGTGTCTTGTCTGTGATTGTAGCGAGCTGTATGAGAAATACGTGTTTATTTGAATTAATTGAGATTCTAACTTCCCAACAAGCTATTCCCAATTGATAGGGGATCCAAGATACCTATGATTTAACATCCTTATCCGAAGAAGACGCGAACGTCTAACCATTTACCGATGTCAATGTAAAGGTAGCTCTTTCTCCTCAGTTATTCTAAGACCTTGAGTAGAGGTGCGACCAAAGATTGAACACGGGTCTCCCAGGCTGAGCCGCCGAGAGGTTGGCAGGGGCCCGGGGCAAATTTTTTTTAGGGGCTCCTATCTAAAAAATTTTTCCGGAAAAATTTTTTTCGGAGAACAGTACCAGTACCATCAGTGTACCATTTTAGGGGTACAAAATTTTTCCGCACGAGTACGTTGCAATTACTTTCCAGGGCCCAACAAAAAATTTTCAGGGGCCTCCAGCACCTCGGGGCCCGGGGCAATTTGCCTCCCCCCTGCCCCCCTCTCTGCGGCCCTGCTCCCAGCAGGGCAGGAAAAAATAATTTTCTTCCTGGGAGCAAAACCTGGAGACAAATATTTCCTGCAGAGCAACGGAGTATTTTTGTGCTAAATCATGATGTGCATAAATATATAGTGTTCTAGCTGACCATGGTTTCAAATTCAAAGAATAATGTCTGTCAACCATATGTTGTTGCGCCCATAGTGGGACAAGGGTGTTAAGGTTTCCTTCAGATTTTCAGTAGCAAATCTTCATTCAAACGAATTTCCTGCAGTTGTTTAACATTTCGTGTGCTCGCCTATTTTCTCCACCCCTGTCTCCCAGCTTGAAAGGCAAGTGCGGTGACCACAACGGTGCGAGTACTGTCATTGACTGACATGCAGAGCTGCGAATAACTTACTTGTAACTTCTGGAAATTTCTCAAATGGCCTGAATGTGCCAGTTTCTAGCGTCGTACCCTATATGTAGATAGAAGATCATAAATTCGTGGAATCGATCCCAAGACTCATTAACAAGAAATAACAAGACTGTGTTTTGAAAGTCTGTGCAGACATACCAAATCATCTTCAGATTGCTCGTCGTCACTCCTAAAGACAAATGGGGTACAGTCATGGTATATGTGAAATATAGAAAGGCGAGTTCAAGAGTTCATAGAAAGGTAAGTTTAAGGATTCACTCGTATGATCCTTAATTCAAAAATGAAAATTAAAGCCCAGCAAATGACTTTCAGACAAGACATAACAAAAATATAAAATTTATTGGCTAACGTTTCGTTGTATTGTTCACAACATATTCAGAGCTATTGTTCTGAAGACGTTGTGAACAATACAACGAAACGTTAGCCAATAAATTTTATATTTCTGTTATGTCTTGTCTGAAAGTCATTTGCCGGGCTTTAATTTTCATATGATTCTTATTAATTTCTGGCTGTCTTGTGATATTCAACGAAAGTTTAAACAAATGTGTACATAGTAATAACATACTCAGAATCAGGTGAATCTTCAGCTGGAGCTGGCGGAGGAGGAAGAGATCGCTGTTGTGGTTCTTCAACTTTTGAACGATTTCTACAGTGAAGTGAATAAAAACGAAGATCAGTTTAGAACTCATAGAGTTATGGAGTATGTATAAAATTATATTATTATAGCTGTGGTCCTTACATTTGTATTGCCTCTGCTAAATTCTTCTTTGCACTCTCTGTTGCAGTGTTTAAACTGGACACGGATACCTCATCTAGGGGGGTGAGGAAAAAAGCGAAATTAGCCGCAAGAGAGTGAATAACCAAAGATGTTATACAAAAATTCAAAATTAACAAAAGTGATCAATTTTAACTGTGTCAATTTATTAAATTAAGATCACCTGAATCAGAGCCATCGTCTCCTTCAGTTCCTGTGTCAGACATGAATGTTCCGGATCTGTTCAAAGCTGCAGAACAAGAGGTTTTAGATGAAGACCAGAGCTTAGGGCTTCCGGGTACCGTATATTTCTCAAAGGTGGCGAACTAGAAAAATTTGCTCATGAACTAAATGAATCCTAACTACATTGCTCAATTACAAAAAAGTACAGGCTGTAAATGTTACCGAAACAGAAATGACGCAAGTTACATGAGCGTTGCATCAGAGTTGACGAGAGTTACAGCAAAATTTGAACCAGCTCAAAGTTGATGAGAGTTGATGAGAATTGTTTGAATTAAACAATTCAAAATGGCCACTATCGAAATTTTCCCGGGCGATGACTACTAATACCAGCATTCCTCGCGGGCTTCAAGCCTTGTGACGTCATTATACATAAGGTCTATTGGCGGTCAAACGCGAGCGAGAGTTGCAAGTCTCGTCAACTCTCATCCTTGACCAAGGCTTGAAGGCCCGTTTACACTTGCAATTTTCTTGTTCTGATGGATGTGAACGAGTAAATAAGTTATGAATGTTCTGAGTATATGTCTCAGTGATATATCCTCATCTGAACATTCATAATTCATCCACTCATTCACATCCATCAGAAGAAAACGCACCTAAAATCGCAGCAGAAATTGCAAGTGTAAACGGGCCTTTACACCATTTGACCGTTTACACCAAAACTTACGTTTCGTTGGAGTGCCAGCTCTTGTGGTTTTCATAGCATAGAAAACAATTCCAGTACTTCTCCATCCAGTCAATTGTGCGGTCTTCGATATACATGACTTTATGACAGGAACACTTCCGCTTTCTAAGACATAACACGCAATACTTCTGACCAGGGGTACTGACGAGACATAGAACATGTAATCTGTGCGATATTCACCGCTAGGGGGAGAGGGGTTAGTCGAGATATATTGCCGCCAATATGGGGAGCCACCAGCAGAGAAGACATAAATAGGATAATTGAAGGTTTGGTTCGGTTCAAGACAGGCGTTGAATGAGAACTGATCTGACCAGTCACGTGACGATGCTGATGAATTTCTACGAACTTGATAGTTGGTACCATTGAAAGCAACGTACAGTGTGATGCTGTCACCTAGAGATTGAATAGAGACAGACATGAATTATTATTATTATTAAAACTTTATTTTCACACGGAGTCCATTTCACAAAATGTGCTCTTCCGTGGAGCCCTGCACAGTGCACACTGAAATATCTACATAGTACAATAGACAATTCCCATTATAGACTAATTTTAAAACTAGGCAAGGAGATGCAAATAAATCACCACAGCTAGAAAGAGCATACTAAAATAAGTAAAATTGCAAAGTTTGGTAAAATGGGGAAAATATACTGTAGCCTTGCAAGTTTTGTAAATTTTATATACTTTTGTATTGCGTGGGGAAATTGCTACCATTTTCGGCCTAAATTAGTCCATAATGGGACTGAATTGTCTATCACAATGTCGATTACAACTAATACTCACAATACTACAGAAAAATAGAAGAAAATCAGGATTGTCTAACAGTTTTTGAAATTTAGAACGGATGTAGCATTTACAGCTTTGACAGATAGGCTATTCCAGAGGACGCTTGGTCTTGGAACAAAAAGCTTTGAATATGAGAGTAACGCAAATTGTAGTAGTGTATTGCATTAGTTGGTGTAAAACAGACTAAAAAAGTGCATAACGGACTAAAGTGCAAAACAGACTCAAAAAAAGTTCCATTGTAGTGACAGAGAGCATAAGCCTACGGCCATTTTGGAAATACACTCAAATACGTCGTGTCACGTAGTATAGAGCAATTTGAAAATGGATTTTTACTTGATCATCAGTCCCACTTCGTTTGCGTTCTATCAGATCAACTAGATTTCTTGGCTAAACAGTCATGGACGCGGACGTTTGCGACGCGCGAATGTGCCTTTGGAAATACAGTACGAAAAAATAATAACGCCCGCCATGTCACATCGTGAAATAATACTAACTTTCTTGAGAATCCTCTTGTCCTGAAAGAGGTCTTGAAATTTCACGACTGAATGCACCTAGACAAAGAAACGATCATGATTTTGTATTGATGTTCTTCTAATCGGTCCAGAATCGAGAAAAATTGAATGACATACCAACTTCATCAGTATTCGGAAGTTGTGGAGGTTTACCCTAAATCCATGAAGATAATTACTATGATTAGCGCGTCAGGCGTCTATAGGTCTATATCTATTAATCTATATATAACAGATAATTTTGTGTTTTTAATTTAAATCAAGGATCACACAAGAGGTTTTTGATAATACTTTTATTTTAGCTACGTTTCGGATAGTTTACTATCCGTCCTCAGGCTAACAAATTGTTCTTACATTTGACGTGTACAACTTTTCACGTGTACAAAGTTGTACACGTCAAATGTAAGAACAATTTGTTAGCCTGAGGACGGATAGTAAACTATCCGAAACGTAGCTAAAATAAAAGTATTATCAAAAACCTCTTGTGTGATCCTTGATTTAAATTAAAAACACAAAATTATTTAATATGAACAGAGGTGAAAGTTTCAGAAAAGCAATTATATATAACAGGACTGGGTCTATACAAGCAAACATTCTGCTTGATTTTACTTACCCTTGGTATTTCGGACACTTTGTCACGCTCAACAATTTTCTGAAATATGAAAAATAATGTATCAACTGAAAACGTTCATAGTGCGATTTTCTTCTTCTGATGGATGTGAATGAGTAGATGAGTTATGAATGTTCTGAGTATGTGTACTCTCATCTCAACATTCAATAACTCATTCACTCGTTCGCATCCATCAGCAAAAGAAAATCGCAACTAAAATCGCAGCAAAAATTGCAAGTGTAAACGGGGTTTACATACTGTCAGTCAATACCTTGTTCAGATCGTTCATTTGCTGTTCAAAACCTGTGACCATTTTCTGTTTTTCCATTCTCTCCGCTTCCAGAGCCTCGTTGAACTGTCTCAACATGGACTCGTACTATACAGTATAAGAGAATATCAGTAAAATATGGAACTATATATATAAAAAATGAAGCAATATGGAGTAATAAGACATATGGAAATATGGAGCAATTTTGAGTAATAAGATACTGAATGAGTAACTTCTCAAAAATTTATTCCAAAATGACGTCACAAAAATTTTGGTGTACTATGAAAGAGGACTGGGGCCAGACCGTTAGGATTTTGTTAGGATTAGAGTCATCCTCGTTCCCAGGGCTTCCCGGCTGAAGCCTTGGGAACGAGATGGATTAGAGTTATAGAGTAATTAGGTTTAGAGTCAGGGTTAGAGTTAGGATCAGTCTATTATAAGGCCCGAAGGCCTCTCACGATCGCTTCACTCTTCGATGTATATTCAAGTCGCATATGTTATCTCTCCCGCGAGCATGCCAAGAGCATTGAATGTGGTTCAACTTTCATAGCGTACCCAAACACCAAAACAGAATAAAATCTGTCACATTCGACACGTAAAAAGCGTGTTAAAACCATTGCTTAAAACTGGATGTTCACTCGTCCCGCGCGGACAAATACGAAGTTGGGCATTCATAGGGCGGCGTTGCACCGGAATCGTAGGGCCGTAGATTCGATTCCAGCCAGAGGGCCCATAGTTTAATTTTTCGCATCTGCGCCTGGTTAGATCTAATAAATGTATAAAAATCACACACGAAATTTCCATCTACAAAACCCTACAAAGCCCAAAAAATCCTGATATTTGAACATTTTTTGTTTCTCACTTTTTCTTTCTCCACTTCATTATCTTTCTTCATCTTCATCTCTTTTTTTCTCCATTTATCTGACAATCTTTTCATTTCTCCCTCGGCATGTGTTTGAATACTGTTCACCTGAGTGTAAAAATCACAAAACCACCATTTGAAACGTTTTTTCTTAGTAATGTCATAAAAGAATGCGCGCGCATATGCTAATGACACACAAGCACGTCCCACAAGCATCACGCACATGTTGGTCGTATAACAACTATTTTTTGATAATATTCGGTAGCTTTGCGCAGTGGCATTATCGTAGCCGATGAGGTTCATCCGAGGCGCGATTATTGCTGATTGAAAACTTATACCAATACCCCGCCAGACGGCCTATATGGCCGGATGTGCAATTTTTCTTGGTCCTTCATTGGACCGATTTTCCAATTCAAAATAAAAATTTAATAAAATCCCGATTAATAATGATTATCCAATTACATCCCCGCGGACATGGAAAAGTGTGTGTATAAAATGTAATTCCGCTCGAAGTTTAATGAACTCTCCATTGACATGCTGCTTTTAGACAAATGTAATGACTGTTGTTCAAGTATTGTCTGTTGTGTGTGTTTAGTATACGTTGTAAATTGTTTCTGTATAACTATTGGGGCCGCTGTAATTGGCAATAGCTGTTGTGGTTTCCCAGTCAATAAATGTATAAGTATGATGGCAAAGTAAATAAATAAATAAAATATCCGTCCAATGAACTAGTTAATTTAGTTAGTTAATGAGAGTCTTTTTGAAAGACGGAGAAAATTGTACAACCGGCCATATTTCTGGCTGTCTGCAGGGTATTAGACAGCACAAGTTTCAATCAGCAATAATCGCGCTTCAGATGAATCTCATCAGTTAGGATGTGCCGGTAATGCCAGATAGCGTAAAGCTGCCGATATTTTCAAACTCAACTATATTTATGCTACACAAATAATTCTTACTTCTTCGTGCAGTTCTCTTCGAATGACTTCCATGTCATTTCTTTGTTTACTCGAAGGCGCATCTGTTTCGTCTTCATCCTACACTCAAGAAATCAGTGGCCATTTTTATACCAAATAAACTCATTCATGCCCTTTTAATATTTTTCTGTTTCTTTATTTTTCTGATAATATCATAATAATAAGACATTCTCGTTTGGAAAATACAATCATGGTTCGAGGATTAAGGCCCATTTCCACTCAGAAAAATTTTCCGCAGAAAGAAAATTTTGTAAAATGTGATTGGCCACCACAAATTTTCCATCGGAAAAATATTTTAAAGTTGGAAATTTTCAACTTTTAAGAATGATATTTTCGGAAAATTTTCTGTCTATGGAAAATTTTCTCGAGTGGAAATGGGACTTTAGGTTAGGGAAATGCGGATTGTGATTGGGTCAAGATCAATGAGAGAAGGCAATATGAAGATACTACCTAATATAGAAAACCAGAAAACATACCCGAATTCCACGAACTAATGACTGCCGTTCTATAGAAATAAAATGACAAATACTTAAATTCACGAAACTGATAGAAATAATATCTGAGAACACGTGTCAATTAAAGTAGTTAACCGCAGCCAATTTGTGTGGAAACTTACCTGATCTCTGTTGAAGATCAACAATTTTCTAAGAAGGGGACAAACAATATCTTGATTATTTAATGCAGAAGAAATATACAATTATAACACAGTTTCATTCAAAGTTAAAAGTGAAAATTCATACCTGTTCCAAAGTGTTCTTTTCGTCATGAACCTGTTTTAACTCAAGCATCACAGATTCTTTGAACTCTCTCATTTCATGCTGAAAATAATACGGTATGACTAACTTTTAACTTTATTGCACAATTATACAGTACTTATTCATACTGTATATATTGGACAGATTTCAAACAAGGTAATACAATAGTATTTATAACAGAGTAGACTATATCTAACTAAATAGTGGCATGTCCTGTAAACTAGCTGGATTAGCTAAGTGCATTTGACCACTCTAAATAGATTGACTGATTGATCAATCACATTTATACCCATACAATTGCCTAATGAGTAATGGCTAAACATCTTGGGTACAAAAGTCACTTGACTTGAATTACCACTTGTCGCTGTTGTTCTTCTTCTTTCCACTGAGCATATCTCTCTTCAAGTTCTTTGATTTTATGCATCTCTTTGTCTTCTTTCTAGACTCACAAAAGGATGAAAGAAATGTCAGATAGACTGAAACATACAACAGACTTACTTCATGTGATCTGATCTGATCTGATGTAAGGTATTTGGCTTTAAATAACTATAGGGTATTAAGCAATTTAAATAGTCCGTTGTAGTGGGGAACAGTAGCTGATTAACCAAGTAATTAAGTGCGTTCATTTTGTTAATTTTTAACTATCATTTTGTAGTTAATATTTAACCCATTGAGTTGCGCCCAACTTAGCTGTCTAATAATTAATGTCGGACAATTTTACTTGTCAAGAAGAGAGCACCAGACGGCATTCAATGAGTCAAGTCAACTTTTACACCAAGTATACAGGGCCCGTACACAGGATTTTTCCACCAGGGGGGGAAAAGGCCTATATGCAGAAAAAAGTCCCAAATATCCAAAGAATAATTAATGATGTCATTCTGAAAATCATAAATATAGTTTTCTCTAGGGGAGGCAGTTGCCCCCCCTCTCTACAGCCCTGCATGTATACAACATGCACCTTCCTGTACTTCATGAAAACTCTTCTGATGAACATCGTTAAAATATATCACTATATATTTAATAACCTCGGGTAGTTGTTCATTCTTTTCTTGCTGAAGTTGTCGTTCAGTGGAAGCTAATCTCTCTTTTATATCCTTCATCTCTTGTAATAACTCTCCATTGATTGCTGTGTCATTCTCTCTTGCATGTCGTGATTCCTTCATTGCTTGTCCAGTAAAACCATTCATTAATTGACCATTCTGTTCCGCATGACGACGTTGAAGATGTGCCAATAAATAATCATTGCTGACAAACACTTTTGGACAAAATGGACACTAAGGAAAAAATTCAAAAATCTTACTCAGATTAACTGATGAACGGCCTTCACCACATGTGTTTTTATCCCACAACATCCCACGCTTACCTTGTGCATCCCACTGGCTCCTGTTCTCATCATCAATTGATATTCTGCAAGCATTTTACGAGCCTTACGATTTTCTTTCTTTAAATGATTTACAGTATTTTGTCTGTCTTCAAGCTCCTTGTTTTTCATCTCCAGGCCCTAGGAATGAAACATTATGCATTCAGAAACTCTTATTAATAGAGAGCTCAAGCAAGCGACGTTTTGACAACTGATGGACGTCACACATACATAATTAAATTATGGCATCAGCAGTTTGTGCTTGAAATGAAGAACACCTGTCAAATTGAATAAAGTTTCACGTTCATGATTTCAAACAAGAACGGCTGTCACCATCTATAACGGCTTGAATTTTTAATACTTCTGGATATTGAGGGGCTCCAGGTGCGCACCTTGAGGGAGGTGCGCATATCCCCTGAGATTGTTTTGCACCTCCCCTGAAATTTTTTCACCTCCTCTGAAAAGTCATGCACCTCCTCTTGTAAAATTCATAAATACACTGATACATATGTACAGTACATCACCCGTCTTGGTTTAGGCCGGCGAACGGCGAATTTCGCCAGCGCTAAGAAGACATGTGACAGCCATTCGCCAGAGGCTGTGTGTAATTCGCCGGTACTTGCAGTCTTCCCTTTGCCCACCACTCAACTCACAGCACCCTTGAAGCTTCGACCTCCCATTCTTTGCATACTCACTTTGCTCATCAATTAATAGCCGGAGCCTCAGTAGAGCAAAACAGTATTGGCCATACCCAAATTATTATTAGCCAGGACTTCAAACGGATACCTGAAGGGCTGAGTACATGCATACACCACGTAGTTGACTTTATGTTCTATGGGGGCCATGAACTAGACCACTGCACCTCCCTTAATTTTTTCCCACCTCCCCCACCATTTCCACCAAAATCCAACCTACTTGTTGCTAAGCTCTCTAACACCTAATCATTTAGTTATGTACAGTATCTATGCAGTATATATTGTACAATTAATAATTACAAGAAAGGGTAGTACCTGTGCACTCTCTTTCAGCATGTTTTCCATTTCATTGATTTTTGACTGAAGAAATTGCTGAGAATGCTTTAGATTAGAAAAAAAAATCGTTACAGCTGTAACACCACATAAATGGATTAAGGTTAATTGCGATAATTTGTCAAATGCCAATCAAATCACTATATTTTTAATTCCACTAACCATCAAATATTCAATAATAAGTTGTGAGAGTTGGAACAATTTTACAAAATTTGGATCAACGAGATGAGAATCCTGTTAAAAATGATATAAAATTAATTTGAATATTACTTCAAAATTTTAAAAAGGTGTTACACAGTACACAATTATGTACTAGCTAATCTTATAATTTTAACTGTATAGTCTCACCATTTCAGCTTCAATGTTGCAGAATGTTATGTTCATGATGTTTTCCTGCAGACTTTTAAAATCGAGTTCTCTTGCAATTCTGTTGACATCAACTGCAGCTGTATTGAAAAAATCACTCACTATTTACTGTAGACTAAGACTAAGAACAGATGCTTTCCATACAACCAGTCATGTCTCTGTCAGACTTGACTGGTCACCTGACAACAAAATGTGACATATAATACTATTGTTTGTGGAATTGTTTTATCACCTACAAACCTACATGCAAACCTACAAAGAACTTAAAATGTGACATGACAACTGCACCAACATTGTTATCCTGTTCAAAGTGTTACGAAAACCATTGGTGCTTCCTTTCACTCAGAAAGTGACATGTTTTCCTGTCAAAACTTTCAGGAATGTGGCTATTATATGTCATGATGAAATCATCACCTTAGGAATGGCAAAATCTGATGGGTCTGTAAGAAATTATTTTGAGGCTGGCTAATAATAGTTTGACATTCTAGCAATAATAGGCATAGGAATGTGGTCAGATTCCTGAATGTCCAACCCAAAAACACGACACATTTTTGGGGGCAAAAGGAAGTATCTGCAGTTTTAGTGTAATTTTACACTAGAGACCTCTGACTACAAATATGAATTATTAAGTGCAAGGTTAATCAAATTACACCCTTTCGATAATTACGTCATTTGGCCTGGGAGCCAGCTCGCTCTCATGAATCATGAGCCAATCACCTTGCATAATTTACTAATGAGAGTGAGGCTCCAAGACCAAAATTGTGTGTGACATAATTATCGAAAGGGTGTATTGTGCACCAGTCACATGATAATTTGCAGTCTGTGACAGTAAACCCTTCCGGAATGCTGCATGTCACTTTGGCGGCTATAGAGGCTTGTTTTTTTTTGTATATGACATTAGTTAAAAACAATCATGTACTTTTATACATACTTTCCCCAAGGGTGTATTGCCAACAATGGGGGGGGACAGCTCGCATTGCCATGTGCAAATGACAAACCCTGCACTATTTTTATAAAGTGGAATACTGCACTTTCATTATCATATCATTCGTTGTAAAATAAAATAAAATGACCACCCCTACCCAACTTTCGCCAGTCAACTCTCTCAGTTCTCTTTTTAAACGTAAACGTCGCAGCTAAAAGACAACAAAACACAATTACAAACGCACATGTCTGACTTTTCGAGTTACCACTTTACATGTAAACGACTTTGTTGCAAAGCAACAGACGCTGTATATTGAACGACTTTTTCTGCAGGCGAAATAAACCAAATGAAACTATAGAAAATAACACTTACTTCTCCTATGGCTCTCAAAGGAAGCTGGCTTGCCAAAGTAAGACATAACTCAAGAGAAAATTTAAAAATAAACAAAAAATAAACAGTTCGTTTGATCTACATTTTTTACATTTTTGTTTTAAAAAATGTGTTTACATGCTTGGCCGCGGAGTTTGGGCACTGCGTACTTTATATTGTCGGTTACATGAAGTATGTAACAGATTTAGATTTTGTGAATTTTGAAACAAAGCTTTATGCGAGGAGTGGACGATTTATTTTGGTCGAGAAAAGTTTTTTTTGCAGAGGAAAGTGTAAATATATCTTCATAATTCAAATAAGGTTATCACAAATGATGGAATATAGGAGAGAAAGAGACGATCGTTCCGGCTACGAGGTGAAAATAACGAAGTATTATAAATGCACTGGGCTACAGTCTAGCATATTAAATTTCATCAATAATTTATGTGATATTTGTAAAATAAACTTGCTTAGTTTATAGCCTACCAATGCTTTTATGATTGCAAAATTATTGCTATAGCTTTGTTACATGATTCAGTTATCATTCACAGATTTTTGGAAATTATTGGGGGGAATTACTCCCCCTCATCCCCTAGTGTCTGCCTCTGACCCCAAAGCCTCTTCTCGGATGACTTTTTAATATCACTATCCCACAATACCATCCTGAATACAGGGTGGTAGTAGAAGCCGCAAACGACAGCGAGATGTGATGGACCGGCCAGCTGAAAGTTCGGCAGGAAAGAGATCTGCAATGATATCTCTGAAGGAAGCACCTGAAATCTCTGAGGAGGAACGAGAACAGATTTTAAAGATGGTGGCTGAGAGTGAACCTGAGGTATTTCATCTTATGATGTCACAAATGTGGAGGTCTGGTGTTGATAGAGTTTGATAATTGATAAGCTGGTATGGTTTGTTTTTTAACTACCTGAAGAAGATTAAATTAAAACATTTTCATGAGGCCTTCAATGAGCCTTTGCTCACACACAAATCATGGCATTTAATCACATCAGATTTATGGATTAATGGACTGACATTATTTAAGTTCAATTTACCTCTCATAGTAAACTGTTCATTGTGTGTCATTGTAAAATTTCCAAATGATTGATAACAGGTTGAAGCTTTAGATTCAAGTGCCCTGAAGAGGATGTTAGTTGCTTTTGATAAGAAAGTGAAGAGAAATCAAGAAATGAGAATCAAATATTCAGATAATCCTGAAAAGTATGGACACATTCTACATTCATTTGCATAAAATATGAATTAATTCCTTGCAGCTATAAAAATATTGTCTACAATTTTATATTTTCATTCACTCATTAAAGTGCAAGACTCTCCCCTTGATGAGTAAAATCATCCGGCATTAGACAGAGTAAAACAATATTAAAGTAGGATGCATTTGGGTACATTGCAGCTTAATGTGCTGATGTTTCATGTTTGTAACATTTGTTTGAAGTCTGAGTTCATTAAGCTCATTGACAACCAAGTGGCACAAGGCCTTGTTTAATATGATCATAGCCAATGTTTAATTAATTTTATCTGTGATTATTCAGCCTCAGTATGCTAGGCCAAAACAGTATCTGGGCACATGCCAAGCAAATGAAATGTACAATATGTTGTTTTAGATTTCTAGACTCAGAGTTGGATGTTCATGATGAAATTCAAAAACTTCATGTGATTGCAACAGCACCAGAACTTTATAGCATACTTGTTCAACAAAATGCAATACCAACCATACTTGGTCTGTTAAGTCATGAAAACACTGGTATCCTTTCGCACGCAAGTCATGCTAATTTTCCTGTGATAAATTCGTATATAGTGGTCTATGTTAGTCCTATGACGAGGATGTGATTCCCTCAATTTGAAATATGAGTACACTTTCTTCCTCACAGTTGAAGAGTAATTCCAATTTCACTTTACCAAACACCATACCTTTTCTACAGTTTCACTGGACAAATAAGAAAGATCCTTGCTGGAACTCTAAGGAGAACAGTTTAGAACTGATGAAGCTCTCCAATAAAAATAAAGTTACTGAAGTAAATGAAGCGTTTAGATACAAATTTCGGGGGGAAATTTGTACATAGAAATTTCGACCTATAAAATACAGCCCTCCGACAGGACTCGAACCTGCAGCCCTGCGGTTCTGGTGCAGCGCTCTGACCACTGAGCTACAGAGTCCCACTGAGCATTAACCACAAGTACTTGTGCATATATACTAATGTAATGCCAGTGTAAAGTATATAGGTAAATATTCAAGCTTTTGGGCATCTGAATGGACATTTTGAACAGAAATTATATACATTCTTAGACCTAGGAAGTTTATTTTCAGCTGTAACGTAGGTTTATTTGCGTAGCTAATTTAAACTTTGCTTGCATGTTGCTTGTCTCAATGTACGATTAAGCTTGCACGTGAGTGGCCAGAAATCGAAGCACAATTTACTAAAATTACTGAGTTACATTCTTAACCAAATGTAAGATATTTCAATCGCGGTTGTGGAGTTGTTAGTTGAACTGACAGATGTCGACGTCCTTAACGAGACTGAGGAAGGCGCTGACGTTCTTTTAGATGCATTGGTGAGTTTGAGTGTTTGACTGACGGACCAACCGAGCCACCGACCGAAGGTCAGGCTCACGGAGAGGTTGCGGGGGCCCGGGCCAAAACTTTCTAAGGGGCCCCTATCATGTCATAACTGTAAAACTGGAGAAGCGTGTTTTACAATATATTACACTTTATTGCATATTCTCCGGCACAAACGCGGCTGGGATTTATATTCTCAGTTAAATTAAGCAATCTTGTACCAAGACTTAAGGGACTTCGTCGCTTTGAGGGCCCCTTTTGAGCTGGGGGGGGGGGGCAGTGTGCTCCCCCTGCCTGTCGAAGGTCACATCGAATGACTGACTAACAAGGATTGTTGTTTTTGCAGCTTGAAGGACAGATTGTAGCATTGTTAGTACAAAACATGGAACGTCTGGATGAGAACGTGAAAGAAGAGGGTGACGGTGTTCATAATACCCTAAGTACCATCGAAAACATGACAGAATTAAAACCCGAGATCTGCGTCACCGCCGGTGAACAGGGCCTTATCGCATGGTTATTGAAAAGACTTAGAGTACGTTGGCAGTAATTTATAGTGGTGTGGCATTTAACTTTACATGTTATTATTATGTGAAGTGGGAACCATCTATTAAGCCGTCAGTTAACCTATTTGATGATTGTATTTTTTGGTATAGAAAGTGCCAGTATATGATCCTAACAAGTTATACTGCAGTGAAATATTGTCTATTTTGTTGCAAGATACACAAGGTATTACTTTTAGTACTGATTGACAACCATGCATTTCATTTGTTTGTGATGTTACTCTGAATGTGTATCCACACCGAGCAAGCTTGAAAAATATGCCTGGCTACGGTGGGAATCGAACCTACGACCTTTGGAAAACTAGCCCAATGCTCTGCCAACTGAGCTACGCAGTCAGGTCGCCGGGTTCGAGTAGTGTATGTGATATTTCAGAACTGAGTCTAGTTCCATCGATATCAATGTAAATAATCTAATAATCATGATTGCTGTGTTGGTGTTGTGTAATCAGGTGAATAAGATGCTTGTGATGTTACTCTGAGTGTGTATCCACACCCGGGCAAGCTTGAAAAATATGCCTGGCCACGGTGGGAATCGAACCTACGACCTTTGGAAAACTAGCCAATGCTATGCCAACTGAGCTGCCGACCTGACCGCGTAGCTCAGTTGGCAAAGCATTGAGCTAGTTTTCCAAAGGTCGTAGGTTCGATTCCCACCGTGGCCAGGCATATTTTTCAAGCTTGCCCGGTGTGGATACACACTCAGAGTAACATCACAAAGTTTTTGACATCTTATTCACCTGAGTACACAACACCAACACAACAAATCATGCATTTCATTGTTTTTGTAAGTGTTTTACTGTAAAAAGTTACAATAGGAAGGAAATTTTTCTTGCAGAAAACCGCCAACTACTTGGTGCCGTGAACGGAATCGACGTTTTATTACAATGTCTCTCGGTGAGTTACAGATCAACGCCAGAAGTGTTACTAAATCAGTGACCTCCATATATATCTGGAGCGAGAAGTGAAGCCAGCTTCGTGTCAACCGCGCAGACAAAAACAATGAAAAGGGACTGGAACTGACGTCCAATGGCTCCTTCAATTTTCCGCCATCTTGGCAAGGAGTGTGCTGAAATTTCGTATTTTTACTTCGATTTAAAGAATAACACTATGGTTTTATGAACTGAAAACTTGCTTAGCGATACGGTCCGTTAGAAAAAACTGCTGCATTTAGGTGGGAAAAATGATATAAAAACTGTTTACGATTTTCAGAGCTATTGAACGTCAATGGCCGCCATCTTGGCTTCATTTTTCTGATAGGCTGAATGACTGAACTTCATGTTCCAGATATACAGCTAATTCAAAAAAGTTTTTCCTTTGCAAACCTTAAACTCTAAATCTTAAACTCTAAGCGTGCAAAGCATAATGGAGCATCATTTAATCAGTTTAGAAATCATATATGGGGCCCATTTCTTGGGGCGCTTTCCATTAACACGGCCAGAACGGTCAAATTGTTGAATGAAACACAAAACATTTGGGCTTCGGACCTTTCTGACCGGAAATTTTAGTTAACATTAGAATGAGGTCCATTTTCGCTAGATATTTGAGAAACATAGACCAGATCTTTCCATTGATACAGAGGAAAAAATTCGGGTCTGACCGGTCAGGCCATTACATGGAAAGCGCCCTTAGAGACATGGTAAATATCTCCTTACGAGAACAATTCATTCACAAATAGCTACAATATTCAACTACTAAGCTTGAAACTTGTGCTCCCATTAAGCTTTGCGCGCTTAGAGTCTAAGGTTTAAGGACTAGAGTTTAAGGTTTGCAAAGGACAACCTTTTTTGAATTGGCTGTATATACATAGAGAGAGAGAGAGTTCACTGTACTAAATACAGCTCTTCCTAAATCTTAACTATTTCTTAACCTTAGGGACGGACCATTAGATATTTGGGGGGGGGGGGGTTGGGCAATTTTTCTGTGCACGAATTTTTTTTCATCCCCCAATTGCTTGCAAAATATTTTTTTTCGGCAACATTCCTTTGCACGATATTTTTTTTTCGACGACCTAAAAATATTTTTCCCGGAGAAATTTTTTTTGGTATTTGCCCCCCCCCCTCAAATATCTAATGGTCCGTCCCTTACGTGCTGACCTGCGGCGGTAAATAAAAAGTAGGGTAGGTGACCCCCTTGATTTCAAGTTTTCAACTTCCTGTTCTTTTTTTCTAGGCGTACAAACCACGTGATCCAAGTACAGCCAATGAAATTGAATATATGGAAAATTTATTCAATTGTTTGTGTAGTTCATTGATGGCTATTCCGAACCGAGAACGATTCTTGAAAGGGCAAGGATTACAGCTCATGATTCTCATGCTGAGGTTCGGGACTAACGGAATAATAAAAGTGCATTGTGTTAATGCTTTCTTGGGCCTGTTTCGAACGTCGCATTTTGTATGTGTCGAATTCAATAGCTTGAATAGACATTATGCATAATGACGTCACAAGGCTTGATGCCCGCGAGGAATGCTGGTCTCAGTAGTCATCGCCCGGGAAAATTTCGATAGTGGCCATTTTGAATTGTTTAATTTTCCCGGGCGATGACTACTAAAACCAGCATTCCTCGCGGGCGTCCAGCCTTGTGACGTCATCATGCACAAGGTCTATTATGCAGTACATGCAAAATTCGACGTCTCTAATTTCGGTCGACCGTAACTTTAAATTCGACCGAGAGTTAATGAGAGTCGCAACTCTTCGGAAAAAGTTATTTCGCTGACCGCAGAATGACATTTCGTCAAAAATATTTTCTTCAAGATTGGTTTAGAAACAAACTTAGAGTAGGGTTAGGTTAGGGTTGGTGTTTGGAATAGGGTTAGTGTTAGTAAAACCGTTGCTTTGTTACGATTTGTCACTCTGAGGCCAGCGAAATAACCTCTTCCCGCTCGCGGCGTTTGTCCACCAACTCTCATCGACTCTCATACACGCTCATCAACTTTCAACTGGTTCAAAGTGCACAGTATATAATATCCAGTCAACTCTCATCAACTCTTGTTCTCGTTTGACCGGGACATGAGAGTTGAGAAAACTCTCATACAAACTCTCGCTTCTCAACTCTCATGCAACTCTTGTTCTCGTTTGACCGGGACATGAGAGTTGAGAAAACTCTCGTACAAACTCTCACTTGCCAACTCTCATTCTCGTTTGACCTTTAGATTTGTCTGCGAATGATTATAATATTATATAATATTTTTTCTCAAGAGAGAAGAAATTATCACGACGCAGTGCGCTGAAAGTTCTCGACTACGCCATGCAAGGGGTGGAAGGAGCAGATAACTGCACTAAGTTTATTGATGTTCTGGGTCTGAGGAGTTTGTTCGCTATATTTATGAAGGTTATTGAAAATATATAACAAACCAAAAACACGGTGTCTTTGTTTTTGATAACTTTTAACAAAGTACATATGTCCATTATTGCTTTAAATTTTCTCTAGCCTCCAAAAAACAACAAGAAAATCGGCTCGAAAGAAGGCGAATACGAAGGTTTGTGTTTCATTAGTTTTCGAAAGAGCGGGAAAATTTCGGCCAAATGTTCTCATTTTTCACGTTGGTGTGCCAAGCTCCTGATTGGCCACAAGCATAAAACCGTATTTCCTTTTTCTAGAACATGTGTTGTCTATTTTGGCGTCGCTGTTTCGAAATCTAACTGGCAACCAACGTTCAAGATTAGTTCAGAAATTTGTAGAAGACGATCATATTAAAGTAAGGGCAATGGAAGGGATTATACGTTATATCCACAAAGACAGGCCATGTAATGATAAAGCCGCTATTGGAAGTCCATAATCGTCCCCACTGAGCTATATAGTCTAGAGGAGTATACTGCATACAGCACGCTATCCAGACAGTTCATTTAGATCTGTGGTGTACTCCGGCTAACTGATATATTTATCCGTTATTTAGGTTGATCGTCTTATTGAACTTCATTTTAAATATTTCGAGCGAGTTCAAGAATGCGACAATCAAATTGAGAGACAGAAGAATGTAAGAAGACGTTATATTTGTTATATATAAGTTGAAGTTTGGTTCCTAGGAAACTAAAATGTTTACCAACAATTCAGAAACGTGGCTAGCAAATAATGTTTCTTGGTTTGTCCACTTTCGGCAAACATGGCTTGGAAACAATATTTCCTGGTTTGTCCACCTTCGGGAAACATGGCTAGGAAACAATGTTTCCTGATTTGCCTGCCTTCGGAAAACATGGGTAGGAAATTATGTTTCCTGTTTTGCCTATCTTCGGAAAACATGACTTGGAAACAATATATGTTTCCTGCTTCGCCCACCTTCGGGAAACATGACTTGGAAACAAAGCTAGAAATTACGGGAACCACTGAGTATTTTGATAAAATACAAAACAATAGATTCTCCGAAAATTGAAAGCATTTTGAAAATTTATTTCGACGTTTCGACTAAACTATAGTCATCATCAGCAAATGAATGATGATGATATTACATATGTACAAGTATATATATTGAAGTAACAAGATACCATGGAACTAAAGCCTCTAAAGATCTATTAATATTTAACTAATTTTATCTTGTTACTTCACTATATCTACTTGTACATGTGTAATATCATCATCATTCATTTCCTGATGATGACTATAGTTTAGTCGAAACGTCGAAATACATTTTCAAAATGCTTTCAATTTTCGGAGTATCTATTGTTTTGTATTTTATGGCTAGAAAGCAGTGTAAAGTCCAATCCAGAGAATATCCCCTCAACGATATTGTAGGCACTTGCTAACAATAAACTTTGTCATGATTATTCTTGTATATTTTAGGCTATGATACAGCGAGGAGAAGATGTGGACGAGGCGACGGAAGAAGATTTTTATCTGCGAAGATTGGACGCCGGTTTATTTTCACTTCAGTTGATTGACTGTGCTATAGTCGAGTGTTGTAGTTCGGGAAATACTTCGGTATAACATTGTGTACTCTTGTCGTATTTTTACAGCAGGATGTACTGTGCATTTAACTGATATTTATAATCGGACGAACAGCTTTGTGACGGCAAAATTTAAGAAATAACTGTGAATTGAAAAAGACTGTTCGAGAACCATGCCAATGATAATAATTTTATATTTATTTCCAGATTAAAGCTCGTGTCCAAACTCTCTTAAACCAACAAGGCGGAAGTATGAAAGACATTCGTTCAGTATTACGAGGTAAATTTCAGGCAATTTGCGATTGTATTTGCCCCATGCATATCGTGTCTCTAATTATGCTAATCTTTACCTCGTATTGAAAACATAACATGATCATTCTTTTGTTAGAATATGCGGCAAGTTTTGGTGACGAGAAAGGAAAGGATCGTGAAGAGTTAGAGAAACGTAGGATTCTATCGCTGGTGGACAGATTTTGAAATTTCCTCTCGAAAGAAACATTGTAAGGGATGGTATATTGAAGCATTGCTCACTATAGAGAACGTGCCAACAATGTGGACTCTTTATTTGGTTGTTTGTATACTACAAGTCTCGCTTCAACCAAGTGTGCCTTCAGGAACATCACCTAACATAAAACATTGACAGTTTTCCATGAATCAGCACAATGATCTAAGCACATGCATCTAGTGTAGAATCTACTTATGTACATATCCACATGGCTAGATCATTGTTTGCAAGAGAGATAGACTATTGTATTGTTTGCAAAAGAGATCGTCGACATTCAAAGCGACAATGTGTTCTAAAACATATACGCAATCAGCGTTAAGTTATATTTTATATATTAATGCTCCGTGGTGTTGTCAGTGTGGTTTTTGCTTGTAAAAAAATAAATTTGAACTAATTAAAAATTCTTTTGAATTAATGTCACACTACGTTATCTTCGTATTCCCTGCCCACTATACAAGATATTGTCAAAGTCTCATGCTCAGCTCATGTGTGTTGCATGTGTTGCTTGCCAAAGGCCAGTTTATACGCTTGCAATTTTTGCTTCGATTTCTAGTGCGATTTTGTTCTTCTGACGGATGTGAAGGAGTGGACCATGAGTTATGAATGTTCAGATGGTACAAAAACTCAGAACATCCATAACTCTATTCGTTCACATCCATCAGAAGAAGGAAATCGCACAATAGAAATCGCAGCCAAAATGCAAGTGTAAACGGGCTTTAAAATTAAGAACGGCTGATGGATTAGACAAACTACGGAAAGTAACCATGAGGGCCTCAGCCAATCATGAGCACGCGCAGTTTTACAGCGTAATTCACACTGATAGTGCCGCGTCTTGAAATCGTGCAATTAGAGATAACAAATTACAGCTATATAGGCCCATGCTAACTGACGGCGTTTAAACTTAATTGCTCATATTGAATAAATACTGCATAAACTTATTTTTCAGTACGTTACCCTGGAAACTGCAATCATACGATGACGTTTGAAGGACGATATATCTTCTTTTTAAAAGCGAGTGTGAAAACTAGACGTGATCGCGCACGTGAAAATACGATCAGACAGACCTATTATATAATTTGCAATGCCAATGATGAGTTTTGTCATTCCTTGCAGAATCACGTATGGAAAGGTTTGCGAAATATATAATGACGGGCTATGATCTCTGAAAGAAGGCATTGACATTGTCTGAACATTTGTACAGCTTTCCAACAAAATATATTTCCACACAAAAAATGCGGGCGTTTTGTGTAACTTTCGAACAGGAGAATTAACTAAAAACTGGAACCCCGGTACGATTAGATTTCAGTACGAAAATTGGCCATCAGAAGAAAACTATCTATTCAAAACAAAATAGCTACAAGAAAAAGTACAGAATGTAGGGATTTTACCGCAACACTGCAGTCATTTGTGATTTAGTCTAAATAATGTGGTTTTGAGGCTTTTCATAATGTGTTTTTCTTTTATGATAGAAAATTTACGCAAAACTTTATAACACAATAAATATCATTCAAAAACATATTCATATACTATTAAGCGAATGAAGGGGTCTTTCAGTGTCATTTTTTTACGACATATTCAATTTTATGAGAATTTTCTTGAAGTTATCAGTATATGGATCGATGAAATTATCGCATATTGATACCAAATTCATGTCATGTTTAACTCGTTTTTTAAAGTGCCAATCATTGTGGTGTACAAATTATCAGACTCTTGTATTGAATTTAGCCTCCAATTTATGCCACAAGACTGATAACGAGGCGGTTTTGTCTTGAACATTTTAATACGTGGGTGTCGACGTGCCTTTCAGGCTTTTCATTAAACTTTAAAAATCACATCTCCGATATCGCCCACTTTATAATCCATATATTATGTAATGTTGGCAGTTTGCTATTCTTTTCACTGCATCGAAATACGTTTTAAATGTTACAGAATGTCTCGCTTTTGGTATCTGAAAATGCCAAAAAGGCAAATCATATGCATGTGCGTCTTTATAGCTCCGAGTGTTTAGTATATATGTATATTTTAGTAGAATAAATTACAACCAGCAATCATATTGCGTATACTGCCAACAGGTGTCTGTGCCAATATTAGCCACAAACAACACCAGGGAGGGGACCCTGCTCACTAATTTGTTCCACACGTCCACAGCAGAAACGAAACGCAATCATATTTTCTTCGTCAAAAATACCTTTTGTATCCAAAAAGAGAACTATGAAAAACAAATATTCGATATCTTTTCCAACGAATTTTACAAGCTGTCGAGTGACGCTATTTTTGAGCAGATATTGAAGGCTCCTTCATTATTAATTCATGTTGAAGGGACGCGCTCAAATCCATCAAGCGGCATCATGATTTTTGGCATTTGTTGGAATCTTGAATATAAATTGATCGCTCATCCAGCTTTTGCCTTTTTACTTAAACTACCAAATAGCATCAATGCTAGTTAGCTTATCATACCAATCCCTGTTTTCTGTATTCTACAAGATTTTTTAAATTTGAACATTTTCTATACAAGACATATAAATTTGTGATAAGTGTTTCCCAGAGACCACATGTTGCACGATACATACAATGATTATGCAGCGTTCATTTCGGGCTGGAGATTATATTTAGCCTAAGGGGAGTTAACGATATAGGATTTTTCCTGAAAACATCGAGCTTTGAAGTGTATTCTAGTACTACGTATATAATATCTGTATTAAAAGGACGCGTCGATACAAATTATATAGTTGTATGTTTGTGTACTATACAAAAAGTAGTATATTGTTCACGCATAGCGCGGTGTGAATGAAGGAGTAGTAAGGCCCACGCACACCGGACATAATTCGTCAATGAAGCGCGATTCTTCAGTTTTTGAAAGCAAATTTAACTATCCACAAAAGAAAATTTTGTATATAGGTATTTAGAACAAATGAGTAAGCGCTATAAATTCTCAAAAAGATTTTATCTAAAGCAAATTTACTTGCAGCAAATTTATTTGCTTTTGAAAACCGAATATCGCAACGTGTTGCCTAAGAGTAAGGATTCAATGTTTGGAACAGATTAACTTTTCCTATAAAGAAGAGTTAGTAGTATACTAAAGTAAAAAGCTGGCGGTGGACGATAGCAAATTTCCTTAGTGAACTAATGTTAGAATCTTTTATTATGTGTCTAAACAGCAGTTTGGCCTGATTTTTGGATTCAGTTTATGTTATTTTCCAGAACACTGAATTGATAGATCCTGCCGTGTAGTTCCTGTAGTGCACTTGTCAGCTGACGATTCATCCTATAACGTCGAGCTAAACCTCAAAATAACCTGAGAAAACATAGTGTGTAAACATACTTTGCCTAAACCATGGAAACTGTTTGATATTGTACGACTTTCGCATCCTATCCCCATCCCTCCTAGGTACGAAACATCCGTTATCGTGAATATATAAATAGGTTGTGCTAATGGCTTTCCGTAGATCAGAAGGCAGCGTATCACAGGCTTGCATATATAATAACAACCGGACCCACAACATACACAGCAACTTTCCCACTTCCTTGGATATACCGAAACCGAAAAACAAAAGGAAATAAAAACAAGAGGGAAGATGATAGGGATATGCAATTTTAAAAAGAAAGGAGGGCTCAAATTTCTGCCATGAACTTGTCATAGCGTTAGCAGACCGGTGGATGCATCGTTTGGAAGGAAAACGCTTTGGTTTGGATAAGTAGCCACGTCTAAATTGCTTGAGATTAATTCGTATACAACTACGGCAGCAAAACCTCGTCTTTGCTCAAGTATTATAAATCACTCTGTTACATACTCCAGTTGAAATGAAGGACCAACAGGCTCTCAACGGTCGCTTTATGGCACTGTATCTATAGTATTCATTTAAGATAAGGCAAAAACCCCAGACGTTGGCAACACTCAACTGCGACGCGGGAAACATTCTTGGGAAAGGAACTGAGTCGGGGGAACATGTATGGTTAACCTTAAGCAATGCCCAAATCCTTTTTAATAAGGAAAGCTTCAGGGAAGGACAAATCCAAGTTATCCAACATATCCAGCAAAAAGAGGCTAGAATTGCAAGGTATGACAATATATTGCATCTCATATATTTGAAGCTACGCATTTTCGTTGCACATGTATATATAATTGTAGTACAACAATTTTCAATTTGCACTCCATAAAATGCGTCAGTAAAATTTGAACTGCGCTAAAGAGGTTGTGCCAAATCGAAAACAAGCCAGGCTATTTGTTAATAATTTTGCACTCACATCGATCGACACCTGTTTAATACGACAGAGTGCACACGAAACTCTTTAAGAGACGCCTGAAAATTCTGAATGTATACCAAACACTCGACAATTTTTGGTGGCGAGTTTTTTAGTTCCATTAATCACCAATTTTGGGTAATTTTTAGCTAACGGTTCTGCATCATTGAAGAAGGAAAGTTTGAAAGAAGCGGGCTGTGTGGAAAGCGGTGAATGCAGAGAACTTCAGAAGGTGCCAAACCTAACGATCGCGCAAAAATCCGCATCATTTGAAGCCACTGACGACAGCAATTCATCTCATTCTTCCACGAGAAGTTCGGTTCAAACTCGGACGGAACCGTTCAACGATGTTGCCCTTACCGGAGAGAGCTCTAATCGTTACATGGATACGGAAACCAACCAAAACACTGCCCCAGGCGAAACACAGCGAAAACGCAAAAACCGCAAGAGAGATCCAATTCACTCAGACGTGTCTGAGGATGTATCTGAGAGACGAACACTTAGATCTAAGATTAAAAAAGACGCGAGGAACACTTCGAATAATTCTCTAAGAAATCAACTGCCGCGTTGTCTTGATAGAATTACCTTTGACCAAAATGAAAATAGCAAAAATGAGGATAACAATTCAATATGGAATTCTAAATTACAAGATCCGAAAGTAGATATTCCATGTACAGCACAAGATCCAATGGAATCAAACGAGAAAGAAGCAGTCAGCCAAGCATACAGTTGTCCATTATGTGGAAGATGTTATGCGACATCTTCAAATCTATCTCGACATAAGCAAACACATCGAAGTTTAGACAGCAAGCAAGCTAAAGCGTGCCCACATTGTGGTAAGCGTTACGTGTCCATGCCTGCGTTATCTATGCACGTGCTCACGCATAAACGTTCTCACGAATGCAAAATATGCGGGAAACGGTTCAGTCGACCTTGGTTACTTCAAGGTCACTTCCGGTCTCACACTGGGGAACGCCCCTTCCGGTGTCCGCAATGTGACAAGTCGTTCGCTGACCGCTCAAACCTGCGGGCTCATGAACAAACACACTCACCACTCAAGCAATACCAGTGTGAGAGATGTCATCGGTCATTCGCGCTGAAGTCGTATCTTACGAAGCATGTCGAAGCGACGTGCTTCGCCGAAGACAGATCCTGAGCGATGATATTTAGCGAAGGAGGCAAAACTTATCAATTCATAATGAATTCAGCAACATGAATTTCCACTCGCTTGGATGAATTAATTTGAACTGCACCGTGCGGTTTAATTGCGGTCAATAAGTCGGTCATGGTGGGGTTCGGTTGAGGTTATACTGCGGTTTAATTTGTTAAGTTGCGATATTAACTACGGTTTTGTTCGCTTATTTTGTTCGGTGCTGTACGCATCGTTAATAAACGGAACAATGTATTTATGCCAAGATAGTTGGAAAACAAAAGTACGATACAATCTCGAATCGCGATACATATTCAAATTATCAAAAATGATTTGCATGTTCAGTAAAATGTATCAGTTCATAATGAATTTAAAAGATCTAAACGTTAAAATGAAATTTCTGGTTACGAAAACATTTTTGAATATTTGAATTTTTTTGAAAATTTTAAAAGTTGTAAAATACTATAGTATATATTGGCAGACAAGATATTGTGCAAGCAACTTGTTTTCTCGCACAAGAAACTTATTAAATATACATTATACTTGGCTGCACAATTGCACGGCGGATACGGCACACTTTATAGTAAAGTTCGTCTTAATTCTACATTTTTTCATATGAAATGAATATTAGGTGTGAATAAGGATGTATTATATCATTAATTAAAACGCTGGCGTTGAAATCATAAGATTAATAGTTGTATATACTTGCGTGTATAATAGTTATATGGTCTATTTTAAAGATTAGTTATTGAAGTATTCTGGCATTACATGTCTTTTAAATTATGTACACTGAATTATTAATAATAGTTAACCTCATTCGCAGGTACAAGGCATAGCTGTATTACATTAATATATAATAAATTTCATGCCATTGGTTATCGATCCTGTGTGTTAATCATTGAACCTAGTACTCAGGTTCTGTTCTCCTTCTCGGAACGAGTTTGTCCGAGCTTTGGTCCCAGAGGTCCAGTGCAGAGAAAAGAGCTGGGTACGATATTTGTAAAGCCGTGAAGCCCTGGGAACGAGGTTGTGCCAACGTATGTTCACGTCAAAGCACAATCTCGTACCCAGAGCAATGCCTGTGTGCGGGCTAGGATAGCATTGGCACTGGGGAAATTGACAACCGGAACCCCTAAATTTAGGGGTTCCGGTTCTTTGTCGGCGTGAACGATTGATAAACGTTAAACCAATCACAGCACAGGAAAAATTCAATTTCCCCAGAGCCAATGCCATCCTAGCTCGCGCAGGCATTGGTCAAAGCAAGCCTCAGGCCAGACCGAGGCTCGCAGGGTAAACACAGCTTAAGAAACCGTTATTATTCCCAAACCGGACCGCCTGAAAAGCAGCATTACGAGATTCTAACGCGGCTTTTACGAAAAACACAAAATCAAACATTTTTCTCTATAAGGATGTTTATTGACGTATTAAAAACTACTATATTATTGTTACAAGAATATAATATACAATTACGATATCTATAACTATGATACATAAATCCGAAATTGTTTCAATCGATAAAACTAGCGATTTGGTTGAACAAAACTGCCGTGGTTGGCGACTCAACTACCTAAAGACTTTAAAGCACAGTTTCACCTGCTAAGCGATGCGATTGTCGGAATGAAACATAAAAAAGTTCCCAAACTTTTTTCACGTTTTTCGCATTAATTTGTGCAAAAGGACATGGCTCATTATATAATGAAAGTAGGGCTAATTATCGGCCGAATCTTCAATTTAGATAAATTTATTAGAACAATTTGAATTTTGGTCTTCAAACACGACAGATATAAGTTATTGCCACCCCAAATTACATTTTATTGTCATATGTCCCATTATAGACTACCAATCTTTTATCTTGGCAAAAAAGTATATTTCCGGAAAGAGCACACTAAAATAAGTAAAATTGCAAAGTTTGGTTGCGAAATGTTGTAAAATGCGCAAAATATAGCCTTGCTAATTATGTTCGCAAATTTTGTATACTTTTGTATTGCGTGCGGAAATTGCTACCACATTTGGGTCGAAAATGATAGCAATATCCGCACGGGTCGCGACGGCATAAAATCCCATCGCTGAGCAAGTCACACTGTGACCTTTAGTCGTTTCAGCTATTTCAGACACAACCCAGGGCAGCTGATTTTAATGAAGCATATGGATCAATACATAGATTGTTCTTATTTCTTAATAGTATCCCATAAACATTGTTCCATGATCAGTCCAATTCAACCAATTACAGAATACCGATTTATTCGCCACCTCGAATTTCACCTGTGGGATTCTTGAAAATGACTTCGTTATGCTTGGTTGGAAAAGGCTTTGTTCACTTTTATCATCTTCAATCCACTTCATTACTCCTCTACAATACATGCTTTTTAGTTATTAATTCATTTCCTTCCGATCAGATGATGTTGGCCATAAAAATGTTTTTCCCCTCGCGACTCCAGGAATGGCGCGGCCGTGCCGGAGACCTTCTTTTCACGAAAATCAGGAGATGATATCATCGTGAAATATAATATAAACCCACAAGACTTTGCGTCGAATTTTTTAAAAACATTAAGATTAAATGGCTAAAAATATATTACTGTAATTTTGCCCTAAAAGTTGAGAGGAAACTTCATCATTGTGTTAGCAAAGTACTTTTTCAGGTCGTTGATGGATTTCCCTAAAATGTAAGAAAAACAAAACAACTTGAAGTATGATTTACACCAAAAACATTTCTGAGATTAAAAAGTTTGCATCAATTTAAACCTTATTCAAAGGCTTTGGTCAAAGAATAAAGGCTGGTTTACACTATCAAAGTTTCTGTGATCACAGTATAGGAATTTTGCATGGTAAATTCTAAGTTTTGAAGGATCTATAAGAAATTTTTGAGGGAACTGTTAAACACCGAGTCAATTCCCTCAAACATTTCTTACAAATCCGTGAAAACTTAGAATTTACCTTTGCGAAATTCCTACTGTGTCACAGAAACTTTGATATAGTGTAAACCAGCCCTTAAAGTAACTCGGGAATGCTTTTTCAAAATTTTATTGCAAAAAAAGTATAAAGATCACAGTAAGACCAAGTATACACAACTAAAACACGCAACATATATAATGAATCTTTATATTCCAAAATATTTCCACACACAACAAATAAGCCACAATGAAACAAGAATGAGACTATGAGAGCGCAGGAGGGATTACAGCAGTTGCTGCATACAGCGATCGCCACATATTCAATCATAGGACAGCTGCAAGACTATATATAACTAAGGGTTTAACGAAGCATCGTGCCGTGCAGCAGATGGTGGTCAACTAGTATTGGTGAGGCGTGAGGATGAGAAACTCTTGAACGGGTCAATAGAAAGGTTTAGCAGAGACGACGCGACGTCAAAGACGATGTGAAAATGGCGTAAAAATGGCGTGGGCACATCCATAGATGGGCATATCACGCCATTTTCACGTCGTCTTTGATAGGGATACAACTACCTGAAATGTATTGATAGGGATACAACTACCTGAAATGTATTGATAGGGATACAACTACCTGAAATGTATTGATAGGGATACAACTACATGAAATGTATTGATAGGGATACAACTACATGAAATGTATTGATGGGGATACAACTACCTGAAATGTATTGATAGGGATACAACTACCTGAAATGTATTGATAGGGATACAACTACCTGAAATGTATTGATAGGGATACAACTACCTGAAATGTATTGATAGGGATACAACTACCTGAAATGTATTGATGGGGATACAACTACCTGAAATGTATTGATAGGGATACAACTACCTGAAATGTATTGATAGGGATACAACTACCTGAAATGTATTGATAGGGATACAACTACATGAAATGTATTGATGGGGATACAACTACCTGAAATGTATTGATAGGGATACAACTACCTGAAATGTATTGATAGGGATACAACTACATGAAATGTATTGATAGGGATACAACTACCTGAAATGTATTGATAGGGATACAACTACATGAAATGTATTGATAGGGATACAACTACCTGAAATGTATTGATAGGGATACAACTACCTGAAATGTATTGATGGGGATACAACTACCTGAAATGTATTGATAGGGATACAACTACATGAAATGTATTGATAGGGATACAACTACCTGAAATGTATTGATAGGGATACAACTACATGAAATGTATTGATAGGGATACAACTACATGAAATGTATTGATAGGGATACAACTACATGAAATGTATTGATACTACCTGAAATGTATTGGTAGGAAAACTACCTGAAATGTATATTGATAGGCCTAGATACAACTACATGAAATGTATTGATACTACCTGAAATGTATTGATAATGAAAACTACCTGAAATGTATTGATATGGAAACTATCTGAAAAATACATGAAATGTATTGATACTACCTGAAATGTGTTGATAAGAAAACTACCCGAAATGTATTGATAGGGATACAACTACCTGAAATGTATTGATACTACCTGAAATGTATTGATATTGAAAACTACCTGAAATATTGATAGGGATACAACTACCTGAAAAATACAAGGAGAACCTCGACATTTCGAGCGAAGGCCCTTCGTCAGTCGAATACAGGCCGGTTTACACTTGCAATTTTTGCTGCGGTACGATTTTCTTCTTCTGGTGGATGTGAACGAGTGGATGAATGTTCAGATGAGGTGCATAGGTGGATACGTGGGTACATATACTCAGAACATTCGTAACCATTTACTCGTTCACATGCATCAGAAGAAAAAAATCGTACTAGTAATCGCAGCAAAAATTGCAAGTGTAAATAGGTCTTATGTAAGTGAAAGATTAATTTCAAGCTTCGATCAGTGTAAACATTTCTGAAGTTGGTCACCATCTGCTGTGCCGCGTGTAAACAGTAATACCACAGGACAAAGACACACAGAAGATCGACTCAGCCAAAAAAAGCGTAACGCTGCCACGCCATGATTCGTCATCAAAATGCTGACGCCATGGTCCTAGCCAGTGTGCTTATGAGAGGTGTTCACCCCCTGGACACAGAATAAGGCACACAGAAGGTCGACTCGAGTAACCGCTGCCACGCCATTATTCATCATCAAAATGCTGACGCCATGGTCCTAGCCAGTGTGCGTTTGAGAGGCATCCCCCCCCCTGGACGTTCGCCATTTTGAATAATATCAGGGGGTGAATGCTTCTCAAACGCGCACTGGCTAGAACCACGGCGTCAGCATTTGATGACGAATTACGGGTTACGCCAAAATCATAGGAAAATCATAGGAAAAACCAAGAAGTCTGCCTTCTGTGTACCTTATTCTGTGCCCTGGACATCCGCCATTTTGAATATTATCAGGGCCAGGGGGTGAATGCCTCTCATAAGCGGCACTGGCTACGACCATGGCGTCAGCATTTTGATGACGAATTACGTTACGCCAAAATCATAGGAAAAACTAAGAAGTTGGGCTTGTGTATAGTCTCCATTCTGTGATAATACTTTCTCAAACCTACTAATGGTTAAATAGTTTGGCTACTAACTTCCCAATGAAGGGCCTTCCCGCTCGAAAATCTCCTTGTATTTTTCAGGTAGTTGCCTCCCTACCAACTGAAGTTTTGTTAAATAGTTGCACAGACAACTTAATAGACCTTATGCATAATGACGTCACAAGGCTTGATGCCCGCGAGGAATGCTGGTCTTAGTAGTCATCGCCCGGGAAAATTAAACAATTCAAAATGGCCACTATCGACTATTAAGACCAGCATTCCTCGCGGGCATCAAGCCTTGTGACGTCATTATGCATAAGGTCTATTAATGCTGGTTAAACTTACAGTAATTCAGATTTTTAAGATCCCATGCATGCGTTCTGAGCTGTTACTGCGTTCTTATCCTTCAGTTTTTGACTGCATAATTAAACTTAAAGAACTTTCAAAGTAAACTAAACAAGTAAACATTCTTCTGTCTAACTCTAGGTTTTTTCCGATATACGTACGTTATCGACTTGACTGCCTTGTTGTTTCTCATGCCACAAGATTCGGTCACGTTTGTCGAAGAACTCCGTCTTGGAGAATGTTTATGGTTAGGCGAGTAAAGTGTCCTTTCTTTCTCGCGGGATGACGAGGATGTTCTTTCCGAATGGTTCTTTCTGTTATGCGGTTTCTCCCTTGACCTTTGTCCATTCTTTTTCCAGTCGATGTCCCTTTGCGAGTCTTTTGTACGGCTCGTTGAAGAAGATGCCGTGCGATCTTTCCTCCAGTCTGTGTCTGTAGTTCGTGAATCGAGTCTCGTTGAACTTGCAGAGCTTCTCCGATTCTTAGAGTCTGTATGATTTTTTTTATCATTTTCTCGAGATTTAGAGCAATGGAGTGTTCCATTCGCCTCAGGTTTCGCATTAAAGTCTGCCTGTGAGTCTCGTATAGATCGTATCGTCGTAGACTGGGTTTTGTTGCGTGTTGCAACACTCGCGTAACTTGGAATGTTCGGTGATATACACGGTGAAAGTCGTAACATTCTTTCGCGTTGTTCTATCGCCTCTCTCCGTATCCGTGTTATACGGCCTAAGATACTACTGAAAGACGAATGAGACAGCGTGGAGTTAAGCCCAGGGCAAACTAGGAACCATTGTTGCAGAAACATTGTTTCCTGCCAATGTTTCGCCATGTTTCCAAGAGTGGGCAAACACTAGGAAACATTAGTGAGAAACATAGGGAAACAGCAAATGTTTCTAAATTTGCTAGGAAACATTTTTGCTTCCCGGGAAGCAAATTTTTTTTACGCAACAATGTTTCCACGGGTGGGCAAACAGGGAAACATTTGAGGAAACATCGAGAATCACAAATGTTTCTGCAACAATGTATCCTAGTTTGCCCAGGGCTTTAGCCAAGTTACAAGTGGATTCCTTCGCGAGATATGCCGGTCTTTGTTGGCGGCAGAAATTTTGGGACACGCCCAACATCGACCATATTTGTAACCATCGCATAAAATAGATTACAAAACTCTTATTTTTTTCTTTTTAAATGATTGGCTACTACGCTTTGCGCGAAAAATTCGAAATTTCGTGCTTCTCGCAAAATATGCAAATTACTACGAATAACATTAAAAGATTATCGCGTGTCTCAAAGTATAAGATTAGTGCGCAGACAGGTTTCTAGGGGCCAAGGAAGAAATATTTCAAATCATATATAGACCAATTAACTGAACAGGTACAAGAATTAATTTCATAAAATTCTTACCTAGATTCATTTCCAGGAATTTGGTTAAGAACTCCATGTGTTAGAACACTACATGCCCATTCAAATGCTCTTTTCACGTCATTGATACGGAACGATCCTTTTCCAATGTAGTTGCCTATATAGTAAACATGTGAGGGTTAGATTCAGAAAGTGGGTATCCTAGAGGACTTATATGGGATATATTGTGGATAATACCTTGTGTCAGAGGATCTTCAATGCATAAATGAGTTTCATTTGCAAGAGACTTTCCTAGTTCCTAATGAAAGAGAAAAATATGTAAGGGGCTGTTTATATGGAGTGAGCCAGGCCGGGTACCCGAGCTGGGTACCGGGCCTGGTTAAGGCGAGATGCTGCCTCTGTTATTATTTCCTACTAAATTTCATTTTGCATTTATATGGGAAGGGAGCTGGCCCGCCCAAGCAAGAATCCCGTCTTGACTGACCCAAGATCTCGGGTCACCGCGGGCTGGGGAATTTTCCATATAAACACAATTACCTGGGCTGGCACACCCAAGCAGGCCGAGTGTTATTGGTCTGTTCACGTAAATATATCGTAAATACTATTTTTTTCAACCAATTTGATCTTAAAAGGCCTCTGGGAATGATTCTGTGGGTTATAACCGTGAGGGTTGCTCACAAAAGTGTGAATTTCAGGTTTGTGAGAAAATATATTATTTTATATTATGCTATTTATAGCGGTGAGCCCATTGGTTTGTTTTGGGGAGCTCGCCTCAGAAGTCTCATGTAATCACAGGGTAAATTTGGTGGCACCAAAGTGAGCTAGCTGGTATATTGGGGGGCTGGCTTGCCTCCATATAAACAGCCCCTAAGTTATTGATATGTTTAATTAACTATCCTGCAATTTAGCCAGGATATTGTGATTAATATAAAACACTGCTGTAAAAAAATTGCACACACGTTTTCTTTGTGGAAGTATGATCCACTTCCAACCAGTCGAATTCCAACATTGTTGTAATTAAATTTCTTGCCGTAAAGTTCAAAAAATTCAATGAGTAAGACACCAAGGTTGATGTCTTTATCCATTGACGGGTTGAAGTCTTTATCCGTGCTCTTCACATGCTCTGAATGCTGAAAAAAGAGAAAAAAATGTCCACTGTTACTACAAGAGGACTACCGTACCTACTACCAGTACTTGCATAAATAAATGACCCACCTGGAAGAAGCTGACAATCATTAAAACAACAGTATACGAACTAATCCCACCACTAAAAACTTCATTGAGATCTCGATCCACAAGAAATTGTTTGAGAACAAACGTCAGATAAGGCAAAGCTGGGTACTGCTCCATGTAGCTCTAGAAATGACAAGAATGTAGTAATTAATGTTAAAAAGTCCATCTATATATGAACAGCTTTCACAAAGCAAATACCATCCAGCAGAAGTTGTCAACCATCATGCAGTCATCAGAGTGCAGAAATAAATTATGCAGTTTAATTGCAGACTTCCAGTACTGGTACAAACAGTTCTACATAATTTCAGTAAGTATCAGCTAGAAACAGCTCTGACATCAACCACAATATGCTATGACAGTACCTTGCTAACACTACAAATTACTATACAAGTACAAGCTGTCAAATTTTCAGGAAATTTTGAAAACCTATACAGGATTGAAGCCATTCATCATCAATCACCTTAATCATGTCTGCACTTTGAACACCATTGTTCATGTTAAAACTGATGTCAATTTTAACTTGGGTTTTTGTGTCTGTAACCTTGATTATAGGAACCTAGAAATACAGAAATTATAGAAGGCAATCACTATGAAGTACGCTATTTATAGGAATTTTTTTTACAACAAGATTTGAATATAAGATGCAATATATACATATACTATTAGACAGTCACATATATTGTCAGTCACTGAATGTGTAAGGAAATGTATAAGGAATCGATGGAGTGTGAGAAAAGCAGACAATTTTGATAGATTTGAGACCAATGATGTTTTGATAAAGTTTTCTTAGACACCTCAAGTTTACTTAAAGAATTCAGCTGAATAAATATTTACAGCACACTTAAACATCAAAAATTCCTCACTTAAATACAGGTCGCCATAGATTTCATATTGGCTACAAGTAATATAGAAACCACGCCAACTTTGACAAGTAACATCGTCAGGTGTAAAACACATGTGAAATAATAAATGGAATTGTTGTGGTGCATTAATAGTTAACCCATTAAGTAATTAATTAACCACAATGCACCCTTGTATCCATCTAACCCCAGACAATATTATTCCTGTAGGGACTTGAAAATTTATAGCATTTACGAAACTTACAGTTGCCTTGTCCAACACACGAATGGAATTTGCATCTGCAATTTCTTGCTCAATAAGTTCATTTTCCAGTGTCCGCAGTGGAAGTCTTTCCCATTTGCCATGAACGACCAGATCAATGTCACTATTAATAAAATTAAGAACACGCAATGTCACAAATTGCTACATATCGCCCAGAAGCACTTATAATACAAAACTAACACTTACCAACAGGCAATTTTTAATTAAGTTAATTTTACAAAATAGCTAGTGGAAGATCAAAAGGTCACATTTCAATAACAACTTTTTTTTGACACAATCAAAACTTTTAAGTAAATAATTATATTGGTGAATGACACAAAATTATTCATTAATATATAACCATGTTAAAGTATTACTCCATTCTTGCGTATTTTTTACGATACAAATACATCTACTTAGCACGGATTTCCTGCAAAATTTTCATACCTTGTCGGTAAATAAAGACCGGTCTGACAACTCCCATAAAGTTCCACCTACAAAAACAATTTGACAAATATTTTTGAGTCACATACTGTAAAAACACTTTTGGCACTTGAATTACAAAAATAAACTACAAATTGTGCAAGCTTATTTAAGTCTTCAGAAACTAAAACTCTCAAGCTAAGAGCTTGTAATGTACAAATATTGATCTAAATGTTTGCCCACCTTGGCTTGTGGCCACAGTTGTTTTATAACAGCTCTGACCCTTTCGACAACATCATTTCGGATTGCGTCTTCTTCTGGCCTCGGTTTTATATAATTTAAAAAGTCGTGTATCTCCTCGTTTAAACTAAAAAGAAAACGGTTTAACTTAGTGTTGAAATAAGCTACAACAAGCGGGCAAAGTTAAGGAAATAGCGTACAAACCCCGTTGGATTTTGAATATAATTTTTCGTCTTCCATGGCGTGCAATAAGGATCCGATGTCGAAATATGGCTGTTGTTGCTCTGTTGTGCTTTATCATTATTTGGCAGCTTTCGTTTAAGCTGTTTGCCGTCCTTACTACCATTGCTGTTCAATAAATCACCACCGTTTGCTCCACAATTCAAAGGGATGTATTCTTCAGCGACTTGCGAGTCAAAAATCACTTTATTCTCACTACAATGTTGTTTTGTTGGGTTTTCAACTATATTACTCCATGTCCTGTTCGCTTGACTGTCTTGTTCGGGCTGAGGCCACTGTGTACAAGCCATGATTTATGATCAAAAATAAAATTTAAGCAAAGGAAAAACTGCCGATTCACTAAAACGGTTGAATAAAATACTTGACTGCTTCAATGATCGTCTCTCGCAAATGATTATAAATTCACAACAAATGCGACTTGTTGTGAGAATTGACCAATCACAGGCCGCCCTCGGAATTAAATCCCAAACATACCAGTTTGAATTCTAAGAAATTTCCGCACGGTAACAATTTCGCAATAAATCTAAACGCACTATTCTTACAGTAAAGCCCACTCTAATTCTAAGATATATTGTTTTGCTAAACTTGACCCCTTATGACGCGATGAAGGCACGTGCCTTCTCCTCTTTCAGCGCGGGTGTTCACGTGCACAAGATTACAAACACGCATGTCACAGATGAAACGAATGGATTCTAGAAACTGTGTACACTGAAAACCTACGAAATTTTAGATATATTTCTATATGTATACTTCTTTGATGTTAATTACTGGGTAATATAAGTTCATAACTGAACTCAAAACATAACTGGACTAATAAGTGGGTTTCTCTTGTATGAAGAAGTTTTGTTCTTCGTGACCACTACACAGAATTGAAAGATTTGTTTAATTTCGAGTTCCTTCCTATATGAAGTATCAACAATGATTTCTCTCGATGTATTTGGAAAAGCGACGGAAATGCCTGGCATTGAACACTATCTGCTGCCATGTAACGCTTATACTACCCACCAATACGGGCAACACAACCTGAATTTCCACTGGAGAACGAAAAAAAGCTTTAAAAAATTATTAACTATCCGTTCATACGATCACACTTTAAGACTTCCAGAAACCAAAATCACGCATTTCAAGGACAGTTACTTCATTAGAGACTTGGCAGCCATAAGAAGTCGTTTTAGAGGGCGCTGCAGCGGATTAGTGGGGTCGTTCTGAGCTAATAACTGAATAGTGTGTTTAATTTGTTCACATAGTCCCTCCAGAATACCAGAGACATGTTCTTTTGTGACAGGATCGTTCGTATCCAGTGCTACGACTGCTTCATCTAAATACCTAAAAAATGATACATAAAAAATAAAATTTTTAACATCGAACTTTTTTCTTAGCTTCATTTTATATTAGACTTTTTTCTGTTGTCCAAAAACAACGCTTAAAATGACCAATAAGATTTATGAATAAACGTTGATTAACATAGATAATGAGTTAT